ATCAACATCGCCGGTCACTTAAATCCTGACTGAAACATCAACATCATTGGTCACTTAAATCCTGACTGAAACATCAACATCATCGGTCACTTAAATCCTGATTGAAACATCAACCTCAACATCGATCACTCAAATCCTGACTGAAACATCAACATCATCGGCCACTTAAATCCTGATTGAAACATCAACATCATCGGTCACTTAATCCTGACTGAAACATCAACATCATTGGTCACTTAAATCCTGACTGAAACATCAACCTCAACATTGATCAATCAAATCCTGACTGAAACATCAACATCATTGGTCACTCAAATCCTGACTGAACCATCAACATCATCGGTCACTTAAATCCTGACTGAAACATCAACATCATCGGCCACTTAAATCCTGATTGAAACATCAACATCAACGATCACTCAAATCCTGACTGAAACATCAACATCGGTCACTTAAATCCTGACTGAAACATCAACATCATTGGTCACTTAAATCCTGACTGAAACATCAACATCATCGGTCACTTAAATCCTGATTGAAACATCAACCTCAACATCGATCACTCAAATCCTGACTGAAACATCAACATCATCGGCCACTTAAATCCTGATTGAAACATCAACATCATCGGTCACTTAATCCTGACTGAAACATCAACATCATTGGTCACTTAAATCCTGACTGAAACATCAACCTCAACATTGATCAATCAAATCCTGACTGAAACATCAACATCATTGGTCACTCAAATCCTGACTGAACCATCAACATCATCGGTCACTTAAATCCTGACTGAAACATCAACATCATCGGTCATTTAAATCCTGACTGAAACGTCAACATCATCAGTCACTTATATCCTGACTGAAACATCAACATCAGAAACCGCAACCCACTGATGCTTGGAACCATTTTAACATCACATACTGATGCTTTGAACCATTTTAACATCACATACTGTATGTGCACAATTCATACTGTATATACAGCTAGGGAAACCAGAAAAGGGCTTCAGATGTACCTATGAAGGGAACTGAACCCAGACACTTAGCATGATGATCAAACGCTTTAACCACTGAGTTACACAACTGCCTTTTACCTAGTCTAAACTAGACATCTGAAATATAACAGCTGTTTACTTGAAATAAAATATATTTCTTATTAGATATAATTCTGATATTGACTGAATAACATACCTAATGCACTTTCGCTTTACATCCCAGCCGAACACTCCACCATCACCACTGTAGCGGGTTCCAAGCACAATGTCATAATCATGTGTCTTTTGTTTCCTGTAAGGTAAATTATTCTGATATACATTTGTAGACAAATAGGAATAAGTATATCTGGCCAGTAGTAACACATGATCACAATATTAGGCATCATTTGCATCTGATGAGGCAGTGTTGAAATTGCTAAAAAACGATGTACAAACCAGGGGAGATAATAATGACATTCATTTCTTCATTACCTCCCCTTGACTATTCACAGATTGCCATTTGGCAATTCTGATATATGATAATTCAAACTATTTTTAACATATCTATATTGTTAAATTGTTTTTTATTTAATTACCAGTTTAGTTTAGTTTAGTTACATAGAATATTGTGGTAAACATTTGTCCAGGAATGTGGCATCACTTGCATGTTTATACTTACTCAATAAACTGTGAAATGAATTTTGGCTGAAAGTAAAAACATTTTCTTCATTATAATTAAAGAAAGCTAAAATACCTAATATAGGTTTGTACTTTTAAAGATCCAAGTTTGATTTCTTTTTTGATGGATATTTTTACATATTCAAACAAATACATGTATGGTATAGAATGGTACACAAAATAGTACTCTGTAACCCCAGTTCACATTCACTAAGGAGAAATGATGATTGTACACTTTTCTGACTCTGAGAACAGTTGACAGATACATGTGCTGTGAAATTAAATCATTCATAAATCATAGCATACTAATTATTATGTGTTATGATGATCATTTGCTCTGCAGTATTCTGTGTACCCCAATGACAACAACATGCACTCACATGGTGGGAGAGATCTGCATCCATTATAAAGATAAAGTTTCCTGTAGCATGTTTGATGCCATGGATGTAGGCCGTCCCTGAAACAGTATAATACCCATAATTACAATAATCCTTTTTATGGAACCCTTTCAAATAGTAAAGATCAGGACTTGGGCTAAAAGATATAAAAAAAACAATTTCTGTTTTCTCGAGATTACGGAGGAAGTTTGGTTGAAAATGTGAATAAAGTTTACATGCTTTTCATGACTAATTTCATTGCAAGGATTAATCTGCACAGTTTTAGTTTCATAATCCTGCCACAAAGATTCACAAGATGACAAATCCTTTGATACTGGAAAAGTGACAGATGTTGACCTACCTAGTCCAAGTTTCTTTTCCCTTGGCCTGAGGACCTGCAGAAATAAATGTCATGTTGGATACAACTTGTACTTGTACTGATTTGTTTGTTGCTTAATGCTGCACTCAGCAATATTCCAGATTTATGGAGGTGGTCTGTAAATAATCGAGTCTGGACCAGACAATCCAGTGATCAACATTATGGGCATGAATCTATGCAACTGGGATGTGATGACATGTAAGTCAGTGAGCCTGACTACCTGATCCCATTAGTCGCCTCTTACGACAAGCATAGGTTGCTGAAGACCAATTCTAACCAAGACCTTAATGGTTGAACACATATCAAGTTTACACAAGAGTCAACTTGCTGTGCATAATAATCATACAGTGTAATGCATTAATTGTACAGATCTAGTAGAACATTACTGATACATTCATTAATGAAATGTGATAACTTCTTGAATGGCAACCACGATTTTTTATTTTCAAAGTTTTCATTAAAAGAAACTTAGTTACCTTTAACACAAATAAGCAAACATCAACAGAAAGTAATTTGTTTATTGCTCTGCACATGTCAGCTGTAAAATTGTGTCCTGACCAGTAGATACAGCGAAAGAAACTGTAACACTCACAATTCTTTCTTTTCCATATATTCTCTGTAAATCCTTGGCAACGTCCAGAGTTCCATCAGGGCTGCCGTCATCAATGATAATCACTTCATAGTCATAGTCACTGGAGAGAAAATACTTTGTGATATATATAATATCATGTGTAGCTATGCATGTTGAATACTTAGGAAAGGCAAGTCAAGTACTTTTAGTTTTCTGTTTCTATCATTTATATACATGAATCTTTTTGAGCCATTAAAAGCTGTATGGACATATCATTTATATACATGTTTATTTTGAAAATACTGAGTTTTCCTTGTTGTACCCATAAATTTATTACCTTCCGCTCTCGGACGGGCGGCTCTAACCACTACTACACCACGGAGGCGGTCTAAAAGCTGTATGGAATAGTGATTGAATGCGTGTACTAAGTATTCATTAGCATGATGCAGGTGATATTGTTCGTGGCACTTTAACATAGCATTTCAGTTTTGTCACAGCATGTCGGCTTTAATATGGGAGGAAAGTCCAAAGAGATGCACTTTGGTGAAACCCACAAACATGGATATAGTGTTGACAAACCAAGAAACAAAATGGCTCAAAGTCAAACAAGGATTAGAATCCATGACCATACTTTTCTGGCATGTCAAATGGACACCAATGTGTATATGTTAATAGTTACACTGTATTTTTGTATACTCACTGCCAGATTAAAATGTTGGTATATGTTGAACGTAAAAAAATAAAATATTCGTAAATGTGTAGAAGTTTTAACAAGTGTAAAACAACCTGACAGAGTGTGTTTGAGTGAAGATACAAGAATTTCATAATGTTACATATTGTATTTAGGTAACCTTGTCCTTTTTGTTGGATTAGACATGTTAGATCATAGATAATAATCAATTTGTGCCACTTCTGTATGAATTCTCCATGTCCCTTATGACTCTGCTTACATGTGGTTATTGTTGTTAGCAGTTTGACTCACATGATGAGTTAATGAACACCATAATAACAACAGCAGATGTTATCAGACATGGATATCATATCGTCAGATCACAGATGGCAGTGCTTACTCAGACCATAACATGGGGTGTTGCATCACACAGACATGATAAATTCTTGAATATGCTGAATGATAGCTTGTGTTTAGAATGAAGTTAGCTTTTATCATGTTTATAAGTCAGTGACATTTTTACAATTGTTCAAACACCCTTAATCCTAGACACTGGATGTTTTAGTAAAGGGTGTCCGAAAACACATAAACTTCCACACATAATGGGTAACATGACACATTCTAGCCTAAACACAACAAACACAAAAATTACGGTCAAATAGGAAACTGATAAATCAGACTAAACTATAATCGATATGAGTGAAGTCCACGTCACAGCTTTAGTTTATCTGAAAACACGACCATTGACGATATTTCTTTTCAACCATATTACACATGTTCGGCAACAACCCACCCCCACCCCCACACCCCCATTTACTTTGAATCAATATTTCTTTTAGCATCTGAAAGCTATGCTGCGAAGATAAGAGCTTTTCTGATGAAATCATGCCAATTTTGACAGATCCTGCTAGTGACGTTTGTCTGAGTATTGACGACAAGCGGACAAGGATGTAATATTTTCTCATGATTGACACTTGTCTTGCCTAAACTGAGTCATACCTTTCAGAGAAATATTTAACCAACAGCCAAACTATCAGTGGGAGATTTTCTCGCTCGTTGTATGTTGGCAGCAATACCGTGTACTTATTCTTCGACGCCATGTTTGTGGGTTCGAGGTCAACATAAGGGACTCTTCATTTTCATAAATTTTCATGTCACGGAATGTTCAATTTAAATGCCCTTTCAACTTAGACATTGTTAAAAGAACTATAGACTAAAGATATAAATATATCACAGAAACTCAGTCGTTGCTGAAGATTAAGATTGCGTTTGTTTCGAAACCGTGTAAATTACAACAATAAATGATCCTTCATATCAATCACGTGATTTCCTATTTGGAAGGGCAGATAATTCTGTCTTCCGTAGAAAGAAAAGGGCGTTTTTGACTGTGATGGCATTTCTGGAAACTGATACACTTGGGCAGGAAAGGTATGTTTTCATGTATACTGTAACTTTATCTATTTAAGACTAATTATCGAGATCGGGACCTGTTACAAGAAAAACATGTCATTACTTTTGAAATTCAGTCAGATCCGCTTTAGATTAGAATGTCAGTTACACTGTTAACTTAAACTTTATCTTTACAATATTTCAGTTACATCGTGACAGTCAGTTAACACTTGTCACTTTATTTGTGTGAAATGTATTGTATATGTTGAGATGTATAAGATGCATTTATGCGTATTTGATTTATATCAGGTAAACATAATTGTTGTAAATATTAGGAGAGGGCTTCATTAAGTTGGATAACTTGTGCCCAATCCTTTTCTTCAATGAATAAAATTTGTTTAAATCAATCGTTTATTGGATGTGAAAAAATGCATACATGTTAAACACTTATAAGACGCCTAATGAGTAAAATTTCAGTTTGGTAAATATTTTTCAACATTGTAAAATCCCCATAACTTTGTTTGGAGGAAGTCCCTCCCAGTAATACAAGTTGTGTAGCAGGTGGTCTGTACAGTTGTTGGTCAGCTTGATAAATTGGTAGTTTGCTGACTTCAGTTTTAATCAATAAACATTGCTCATGATGATTAAACATGAAAGTCAAGGAGGCCTTGGCCTTACACCTATTGCTTAAAGTTTAAGATTCAGAGTGTCCTGGATTCAAATACTAGACGACAAGGACCCAAGAACCCCACTTAAACTTGAAATGCTGACACAAGATTATGGTGAATTGACATGATTAAGTCACTCAAATTACCATAGACATATCACCTGTGAAGATTCAGGTTATAATTGGTCTTCAGCAACCCATGCTTGTCAGAAGAGGCTTGCTGACTTGGTTGACACATGTCATCTCATCCCAATTGTGTTGATCAATGCTCCTGATGTTGATCACTGGATTGTCTGGTTCAGACTAGATTTTTACAGATCACCGCCATATAGGTAGAATATTGCTGAGTGTGGCATTTAACAGCAAACAAACCGACAGACAAACCACAAAATTATTTACTTTTTCCTATTTCCTATTTTATTCTGATTGTTGTGTTTTGACCAATTTGACTCATTCATTGAGACTTTTTCATATGTACTGCACTCGCTATGTAAATTTGTTCACAGACTTTTAATGAAGCATTAGTGCAAGCAGATGCATGCACATACATCACTCTATAATATGCAAACACTGAAAGCTATTTATCAATATGTTACGAGGTATATAATGAAACCTCTTATATATAGTTTGAATTTGACTCGGCTACATACTTGTGGCTAAAGTAGCAGACAAGAGGGCTGTGTCCTTAAGTCCATGTATTTCAAACAGTAATTTGTTTTTATCAATTTTAGATTTTCCCTCCTGCTGCTGGAACCTGGCGAGATCTACTTTGAGGACTTCAGTGTGTTTTATTATCCAGCAGGATTATCAGAGCAAGATGCTATCAGAAGGTGAGGTTAATATTGGACGACATTCGTCTTTTTTCCGATAATTTTTCTATTTCCGAAATCCCTATTACAAGTAGAGGCTCCTGACCCTTGACAATTCGGGTTAGAATTGGTGGTCTCAATCAATCCATGCTTGCCATTAGAGGCGACTAATGGGATTAGGTGGTCAGGCTCGATGACAACTGTCATCGTATCCCAAGAGTGTAGATCAATGCTCATGCCGTGTTGATCACTGGATAGTCTGATCCAGACTTGATTATTTACAGACACTGCCATTTAGGTATAATATTGCTGAGTGAGGCATAAGACAACACCAACAACAAAAACAAAAGAGTCTCCTGACCAGGGAAGCATGAGCCCCATGTAAAAAAATAGTGTGAAAAAGGATTTCTTGTTTTTGTCTGAGAAAAAGATACCAGGGCAACACATTCTTTCTCGTATTTACTCTCTAAACAAATTTATGATATATTGTACAAGCAATAGACAAAGAAGAGGATTTTAATGAAAAAATAAAATATACTGAGAGAAATAAATAAAGGATCACAGGAAAATTCAAGTATTCCTTTATTATTTTCCAGTTTTCATTGCCACAGTGCTATTCAAAGCTGGTGATTAAAACTGGAAAATATTAAAGGAACACTTGAATTTTCCTGTGATCCTTTATTTGTTTCTCTCAGTATATAACATCAATGAAATTACAAGTACATGTCCAGGTACCTCACTCACAAAGGGAATGGTAGCGCACCCATTTCTGATAAAATTTCACTTGTTGACGGTTTGCATAATAGCCATTCATTTGAACATAATATCTGTAATGTTGGTAGAATTAATGGTTGATTAATATTTTAGTGTTACTATATTGCAGTGTGTATTTTATTACTTACGGTATGCGAGGACGAGTTATGTCTGTTAAGTAGTGTTGGGAATTGGTTGAAATCTCACAATTGATGATTGCTTCATTACCAACGAACAATCATTGAAAAAAATTGGTTAGCGTCATTTTTCAGATTTTCATATCCAGGTTGTTATTGCAGATATGTATAACATGATGCAACTTGCTACTTTAAAGTGATGACATATATCATGAACATAAACTTCCTGGTGTCTTCAAGAAATATTAGGGGCGGTGGGGTAGCCTAGTGGTTAAAGCGTTGGCTCGTCACGCCGAAGACCCGGGTTCGAATCCCCACATTGGTACAATGTGTGAAACCCATTTCTGGTGTCCCCAGCCGTGATGTTGCTGGAATATTGCTAAAGGCGGCGTAAAACCAAACTCAGTCAGTCAGTCAGTCAAGAAATATTCAGTCATGGCTTTTCAGTTAGTGAAGTGATTTTTCTATGAATTAAACACATTTTCAGGCCCTGACAACTTCAACGATATGTTCCATTGTCAAAGACTAAAACTGTAGTTCAAAAATCGTTTATGTTCGATTATGAGAAAATGTGATCGATTGCTTGGTCANGTTTGGTCACTGCGACCAATCTTCGATTATTTCAATTAATCGGGACACCTCCACTGTTAAGACCGCTACAATATCTAACCTAATCAAGCTTAGAGTGGTGGTTTGCATTTGTGAATGTAATGTTTTGCTGTTAACAATATTAAGACAAAGGTGTATTGTGAACAAAATTCTCTTTGAGACAAACAACAACAAGGTCAAGGTCTAAATTGCATTCATATGTACACTTCTCTTTTAACATGTCTGAAAATAACCTCCAAAATGTTTTGATACGAGTACAGTCCCAAAAGAGATGAGGAATTGTTTCTACCTTGACACTGCAGAATGCGCATTAATTATTGGAAGCAATGTGAATTTTGACGTGAAATACTTGGAGTAAAAAAATGGTCTGACTTGAAACCACCATAGTTTGGTATTTGAGGTAGGTTTAAAAGATTTGATATAAATAATTTTCTAGTCCATAGTTAAATGTGATGCTAGATCACAGCATTGATATTATCAATAGACATAATAAAACAAAAGAAATAGTAATAATGGTTTACCATGTTTACTCATCCAATTTCCTTATGTGACATGTGTTGCTGTAGTTTATTTCTGTTTGTAGGCCATCGGCCCATGTATAATAAGCAATACAAATGATATCAGGGATGGAAATAACCCACTGCCCGATGCCCGAGTCCAGTGTTTTTTTCTGTCGGGCAAGCAAATTTGTATATCACACTGTACCGATGTCCAGTTGATATTCCAATGTTAATTATGTTGTTTATTTAAAAAATCAACAAGAAAACGGACGGTATAGTGGAAAAATTATCAGGGCAAGTGATTTTACATGTGCCACTGTACTGGAGTACCCTAGCAATTATTTCCACCCCTGGATATTTTGCATAATGGCAATAAGCAGAACATTTGTGTTGTCAATATATGGAAGATCGACATTTAAGAGATAATTTGATAAATTTAGCTCAATTTAATAAAAGTACCATGTCATTAGAAGTTATTAACTTTATGAATTTACAAGCATTTGTTAAATTATTCCATAGAGGTAAATACGGTTTTCGTAGTGTTTCATATTTATCACATTCAAATAGGAAGTGGACTTATCATCATTTCTGTTACTATTACACATCTTACAAATTACATCTGAGTACATAGTTTCCTTCCATCTTATATTCCATCGTAATGGTAGTGCACTGAATCTTAGCAAACATAACTAGCTTCTTAAGTCTCTTACATTAATTCTTAAAATGAGATTATCAGGCGGCAGTGATGATATTATGCTTTTAAAATGTACAAGACTGGATGAATCCATGATATTGCTATTCTTTTTCACTAATGCGGCTCATATTTATTTGTATTACGGGCTGCTGAGGTGTTATGTTTTGTGTATTTTGTATTTTTTAATTTTTTAATTTACATATATATATTTGTCATTCAGTAATTTGCACCATTACATAGAAAAGTGTTTTATTAGTATTTTATTTTTTCGGCGGTAATAATGCATTACACTAGACACGTCAGTCGTGTTTGCGCCGGTTCGGTCAATGCATTCTATTTATTAGGATTAATTCAAGGGATTGGGGTTAGGGTTAGGGTTAGGGTTAGGGCTAGGGCTAGGGCTAGGGTTAGGGTTAGGGTTAGGGTTAGGGTTTAGGGTTTAGGGTTAGGGTTGGGGTTGGGGACCTAATGCAATATATAGTAGGTACATGTCCGGTGGTTCGGTCAATGCATTCTATTTATTAGGATTATTTCAAGGGGTTAGGGTTAGGGTTAGGGTTAGGGACCTAATCCAATATAGCAGGTACATGACCGGTGTAATACGTGAGTACCATTTGTTGTTTTTCCTTTTTGCATTTTAATACTTTTTTCACACAAAAGCGGGGAAACCAAAAGCGTCGAAAGTACATTATGAAATGGGTTAATGTAGAAATTTTGGGCTAATGGAAATTGGTCTGGAATTTGCACTCAAGCCTCTTTCACGCATACATAAATTTTGTAAAGTAATGATTCGAAGGCTAACTCACCCGAGTGCCGTCACTACACATGCTCATGTCTCCCTCGATTTCCTTAGTGCGATCCACATTATCCTTACAGTGTTCCCTACATCACTTTTCTGTCACAAAATCACCGATTTATATAAAGCGTGTCATTCATGCATGCACCGTGAAATCCACGTCTGACGCCTGGCGTCAACAACCCTTTTCAGTTTGAGGCATATCGGCTCATTCCACGCACACGTTAATTTGTAGATTACAGAATGGGACGAGTGTGCCAAATGGCATCGGATCCATTGACAATTGTCCGGAGAATAAAATCACGAGACACCAAGTCTACCCGTAGCATTCGTAATTGTCCGTGACCTATTCGACTCTTTCCGTTCATTTCCGTGACGTCACAGGAATGACTCGATAAATTTGCACATTGTGCAACAGTGTGGACGTAGCTCAGTCGGTTAGCTGTCGAGCTAACAATCCGAAGGTCGCGGGTTCGCGTCTGACGGGTTCTCACAAACTTGTTGCTTGTCTTAATGACACGTGACCTACGGCAGGGATCGTCCTCACGAGAAGTTGTGGTGCTGTATTCTAAAGGTGCTCCCCAAATCCATACTCATTTTTAAGCTTACGTTTTTTTGAAACCCAAGTAATCCTACCAACAGAATCTAGTCTAAGTATATAACATTGTTTAGGATAATGATCATTAGACATTCATAATAGTTTACACCAGAATGTAACACAAAGATGATGATAATCTACATTCATACTATATCTTCCACATTCAGCTAATGCTGCTTTACTTGATGTATGTTTACCAACCCCTAAAACAAATTTAGAAAAATTGTTATGAAATTTGTCAACAACACTTCTTTCCTGAAATCCCCACACCACAGCAATATTGGTTTTATTTTACAGTCAAAAAGTTTAAATAATACATGAACAGGAATATTTTGTAAAAGTATGTTATAATTGTTTTATAACTAATCAGGCTTTACTGGCTTTTACCACAAGCGTCTTAGTACAAACACTCCAGGACAACCTAGTAGAAAACATGATACCAAGATAATTATAATATCTGGCTGTTTTCAGTTGTACATCATCGAAAAACCATTTTTCAAAATTACGAAGGTAACCCCAATTTCGAAATACTACTATCTCTGTCTTATCCATATTAACTTGTAACCCCCAAGACTTACACAATTTACACAAGATGTTGATTTTCCTTTGCAGTCCAACCACACTGTCATTATGTGACATGCATATTGCCTGACGAAACAAGGATAACCTGAAGTAAACATGTGTAAATGTTAAGGCTGTAACGATTCACTCGCATATTCGGTGAATCGAACCGTAGCCCTTCATGAATTCAATTCGTTATTCGTGGTCACCAGAACCGAATATTAACGATTTTTTAAGGGAGCATGTTTTACTTGAACCCTTGTGTACTTTTGGAAAGTGAGATATGCAAGGATTGAATATGTACTAGCAATGCAGTAGCGCAAGTCATGTTAGTTTGCCAAGGCCGCACATGGTACTGTCGACTATAACTATTACATACCAAATCTGAGTGTCCTGAGATCACTGGTTATTGCTGTGACAAAACAAAACTGTCAACATGGGCATTCAATATTGTACGTTAATCACTTAACTACAATATTGTTTTCGTGAATAATTATTCGTATTCGTTACCCAATATTCATGATACATATCATATTCGCCACCTTGCTTGAAGAGATCCTGTATCCTGTATTAACATTATAAACATGATAAATCGTACACCTATGGTAACGCCAGTGTCTCCTCTACTGTAGTTAAGTCAAGCTTCTGTATATACCTTGTTGTTCTGAGCTTGACAATGCTAAACATGCTAACCGATAATGTTCATCCTCTTGTAGGAAACAAAGGGGACATCTCAAGATGTGTTCCAAGTCCATTGTGTTTGTCCCGAAGGATATACAGTTTCCTATTATTAAGGTATGTGCAATATCAAGAGGAAGGGACCTTAGGACATATCTGAAGTCTTGAACTGTTCCTATCCAAATATCGGTCCTCTCTATCTAGTCCATAGTGTGTTTTGGATTAATGCATTAGGTTAAATGATTAGACTTTGGGACGTTGTGTTCCTCATAATAAAGAAGTTGACATCCATAAAAAGTCACTTCCTTATGTCTATCACTTCTACCGGAGAGCGGAAGGTCGCGGGTTCGATCCCCGACCGCGTCATACCAAAAGACGTTAAAATATGGTACTTGTTGGTCCCTGCCTGGCGCTTCGGCATTAATGGGTACAACAAGGACTGGTCGGCTCGAGTCTCTTCAGCTCCCTTTGTTTTACATGATAAGCAAGTTTCTGGACAGATAACAAATGGATGAAGTTCTTGCATGGTACCGCAATGTTTTGTCAAATAGCCAGCATAGCTCAGCCCGAATTTATGGGTTGCAGACTTCGCCGGTTAACCAAAGACCATGTTGTCCGTGATTTTTTGTCACTGTGTGTGTAACGCTTTGCAAATGGCGGACTACTGTTTGTTCACCGGAATTTTGATGATTAGAGTGACTATGAAGTGCCCTTGCAGAATTCTCTTGGTCCCATGAATCGGATACCAAGTCCAGCCTATAAATGCAAGTAACAACGAAGCGCTGCCATTCCGATGAGAGTGACTGTGTCGGATTTTGACAGCCAGTCGAGAGACTGCTTATTGAGGGTGACGGACAGAAACACCCATGAGCGGTTTGCCTAGTCAAGCACGAAGTTCAGAGGTCACTGCATTATGCAAGGATTGTCACCAGGCAGCGATCTACTACCTATATCACTCCACCTGGCTTAATTCCATTATTTTGTTCGGCCAAAAAGCGTTCCTGAGGTCACCGATCCTCTGAATTTCTACAATTTGTTTATAATGTGAATGTTCCTGTAGATTGACTGACAATCTCCATGCTCGAACATACTACATTGAGCACTCCCTCAGAACTGACTTAGTTGCTTTCGACTTGAACGTTCTTATATCAGGAGATATCTTTTGTCAGAGGCAAGAGTGGTTAGACCTCTCATTTCCCTCGACCTCGCGATGGCCGTGGGGTAGCCTAGTGGTTAAAGCGTTGACTCGTCACGCCAAGACCCCGTTCGATCCCCACATGGGCACAATGTGTTAAGCCCATTTCTGGTGCCCCCGCTGTGATTTTGCTGGATTATTGCTAAAGGCGTGTAAAACTAAACTCAGTCAGTCAGTCAGTCAGTCCCCTCGACCTGTGAGGCGCCTACCTTCACATCCGGATACATCCAGACTATTGGAAGTATCTTCGAATTACTTTTATGGGGTCCATTGATACCAATGGAGGATCCTGCTGTATGGGCATATCGCAGCCCGTGGGTTTTACTCAGATACCCATTCTGTTAACCAGCTACCTGCATTGTCGGCGTGACAATTGACAACAATATCGGCGACTGTGTTCAAGCCCAGCAGGATCCAGTCGTCCTTCCTTTCCACAGACAGTTCATCATCAAGTTGCTCACGCAATTAGGATGGCTGCTAAATTGAACAATCAGGGTAACACCGACCAGCTGTTTCTTCTTATTGGGACAATATTCACCACGCCAGGTCATGATGTTTGTGCCCCAGGAGAGGTGGGACAAGATTCAGTGCAACGCACCACTAGTGTTGGTCCAACCCACACCTTTTCGCCAGTGGCAGAAGTTACTAGGGTGGTTGGCGTCGGCACAAGTGCTGACTGACAGGGGCCAGCTGCAGCTTGCCCTCTTCAGATGGTTCTGTGCCCATACATCGGGACGACAACCCCAGGGAGTTGATTCGTCCCTCCCGCACAACTACATTCAGTCTTTCGTTGGTGGCTCAACAAATTGGAACGTTTGTGTTGGAGTCTCTAGGGTGCCCTTCATACCCGACTCAACACCTATTCGTTGGCACATCTTGCAAGCTGGAGCTCACTTTCTCCATCAAGTGGCCTAGCAGTGGTCATCAGGAGAAAGGGCCCTTCATCACAACGAATTGGAATTCAGCATCGTCATTATCGCCTGTTGGGCACTTGGGACAACCATCAGCTTCAGCGCAGATGATCACCAGTTGCGATTGTTTCTGCTTTGTGTACAATCTGAATAAAATTCTGAATTTTATTTCTGATTTGTGTCTTCGATTCTTCTGGGACTTGTGAGTTTCCGATTCAATTACCCTTTCACTCTCCACGGGACGGTGTCTGTGGGGGTTGTGTCGAAGCAGGGGCTGGCCCGATACTGGTCGTCAGACCTTGGAAATCGTGGTAATGCGACTGTTTACACTCGCTAAGCTGCGTCCTTTCACTTTCATGAAGGTAGTGACTGAACACCACATTGCTCGGGAATCCCGGTCCCTGGAGCACTTGTGTTTAGTAAGTCAATGGGTTCGAACTGACCATTGCAGGTCTCGCTTTTGAGACGCTGGAGGGTCGCCACCTCACTTACTGTCCTCTGCTCCACGGATTAATTACGTCAGTAAAGTGAGTCATTCGAAGTGTTACACTTTGTAGCGTTACCTTAAAGCATCGCAAGAGCCGCCCGCTGCGTAGGAGACTGTTTATACACTTGTCTACTGCTTCCAAGGCGGAAGTCTCTCGCACAACACTCTCATATTGGCTACGAGCTACAATACTACGAGCCTACACTTTTGCCGGTTTGCCACCACCTCCACGGCAGTCAACCCTCATGAAACCAGGGCATTGGCTTCTACTATGGCGCTGCATAGCAACTGCTCGCTAACTGCCATAATGGAGGGTTGTTTTTGGCGATCTGACACAGTATTTTCGCCTCATTACCTCTGAGATGTGTCGGTGACGGATATTCAAGACCTTCATCAGTTTGGACCACTGGCCCTTGCCCAGCAGTTATCAGCGCACAACATCGCAGATAATGAACTTCCTTGTGCTCCGATGCTATATGGATCCCACTGTGCAGTTGATCCCAAGTCAAGCGATCGCTTTCTGCTTGTGTACAATCTGAATAAATCTGAAAAACTTTTCTGATTTACGTCTTCGGGGATTTAGATTTCTCCTCTCATTTGTTTGAGACTACAGAGAGTCGCCACCTCACTTACTGTCCTCTGCTCCACGGAGTAATTAAGTCAGTGAAGTGAGTCCTTCCCGAAGTGTTACACCGTGGCGTTCATGCTCCTAAGTGCCTATACACATCTATGTGATCTTATTGTGGTAAGTAATGGAAGTCATAAGATGATGTTGTGGTACTGAGCGTTAAAATTGTGAGTTTTACCGATTCAATTTCTCTTTCACCCTCCTCGGGGCGGTGTCTGTGGGGGTTGTTTGAAAGCAGGGGCTGGCCCGATACTAGTCGTTAGACTTTTATTACGGGGGTACCTTGGAAATCGTGGCGATGCGACTGATTACACTCGTTAAGCTACGCCCTTTCACTTTGTGAAGGTAGTGACTGAACACCACATTGCTCGGGAATCCGGTCCCTGGGAGCAATTGTGCTTAGTAAGTCAATGGGTTCGAACTAACCCTGCATGCGTAGTAACTTGGTAGTTATTGGCCTACCTTGTAGTTGCTTCCTACGGTTGTTTGGGCATAACACTTAGCTGTTATCGCTTGAATTTCGGGTAATCTATGACCCACCTTCCTACCGTGGGATAAGTGCAAGTCGTGAGATAGGATAAGTTTAAAAATTTGAAATTTTAACTATAAATTGTATATTTATATACTTATCCTATCTCACGCGATAAAGTCCCTCCCTACCTCCCCACTACATAGATTACCACCGTTCCGGTTTTGTCCTTTTATGGCTCCAAGATCGAGAATGAGTATGTGAGGTGATCACGTGGGTGAGGACTGCGCATGCCTCGTGCTGTCATGGACTAGTGAGCACGACTGACACAGAAGGCACGCACAGCACGGGAGAGGGGCAAGGTAGGCCTTGGAGCAAAGTTTTAATTCGTTTCCACTCATGGTCGAATGAAGAGAGAGAGGTGCAAGTCGTGAGATAGGATAAGTATATAAATATACAATTTATAGTTAAAATTTTCAAATTTTGAAAGAAGACCCAACCCAAATATATTCTTTACCATGTTGACAGCACATGTTGTTTGTGTAGATGCCATGGTGTTGTGAAATGGTAAGATGTATCGAATATGTTAAATCACCCTTTTTATTTTACACAGCAGAGAATCTATTTATTAACCTCTTGGTCGAATCTATAATGTCAAACAGTTTGATCATGCCAATAAAAATGATGATGATGATGATGATGATGATGATGATGATGATGATGATGATGTGATGTGGTGGTGATGATGATCATGATGACTGATGATGGTGGTGGTGGTGGTGGTGCTGATGAACATACTGCATAACATAATAACCCTGTCCAATGCTGGTAATGCTGATGATGATGATGCTGCTGCTGCTGCTGCTGCTGACAACTACCACCATCATCATCATCATGATCACAATCATCATTATTATTACAGGCTGGACATCAAGGACCGAGTGTTGAAGGTTGTTTCGGAGCAGGCCGTGGAGATGAAGGAGAAAAATATCATCGCCCCCTTTGTCTTCAGGAAGGTAGGTTTACCCAAGGCCACACTACATTCTGTTTATAGCTGTAACCATGGTAATCAGCTTGGGTAAGAACAGAAAATCCCATATGATATGATACATGAAAGACATGTTCAATAAAAGGGACAGAGGATTTGAAAAATCTATCAATACAAACCTATTGTGTGCAGTAGCAGTGTACATGGGCAAAGCAAATTATGTGTTAAGGGCTATGAAATGAAGAGTGCTGTGTTTGTCAGGAAACAGCGGAGCACCGATTCTCACTGAACTACGCCACCCTGGACGACTGTCTGCCACTGTTCTGTCAGCTACAGAGAGCTTCCACCCTCCCGCCAGCAGACCAGTCTCACATGGTACGGCAAACACTCCCCCTCAGTCATTTTTGTACAAATCATACGAAAGTTGGTATTTGTTCAGTTAATTGTGAAACTTTTCTCACATTTTTCACCCTTCTTAAATGTTTGACCTGCTCTAGTATATTACAACAATGTAACATGTTCGGTTTTTAAATTACATTTAGTGGTCTTAAATCAACGACAAAGGACCACAGAATTAAAAACCTACCGTATATGACCGTCTATAAGCCGAATTTTGAGGACCAAAAAGAGCAGTCTGTAGAAGGGGGTCGTCTTATCCATGGGTTACGCTTTCGTCAAACTTTTTTCCAGGGGTAAGAAAACAACATCGTATCACTTCACATGAACAAACAACAGAAGACGATTTTGTCAGTAGAGACGTCAAATTTGCAATTAAACATCACTAGACAAGATTATTTACCTTTTAAGTTATAAGTTGTTTTGCTGGGCATTGTATTATTTGCAGGGATTAAGATTACCGTGCGTATCCTAGCATTGTGTAATAGTTTTTATGTAAAATATATATAATCAACACTGAGGTTATACGGACCCTCATGAACGTGGTAAGCACGTGACATGGAATGGGGTAAAATACGGAAGCCATTTAAATTCGCACATTTTTACCGATGTTATTGTAAACTAGCAGTCAATGGAAAACGAGGCGGTAATCAGTTCGTGATTGTTGAATGGGGTAAAATAAGCAAGCCAGTTTGTTGCTACAATAAATATGATATTTAGAGAATCTATATTATGCATTTTCTGTCAACTACACTTCGTTTCGATCCGTGAGTAGACACAATATATATGACAGTGAATTCTTTGAATAATGTGGACCAAAGTTATAATTATTGGTAACTGCCAGTTGTCTGTGTTTGCCTCGATTAGGACCCCATCGCGGGGGATCGACTTATGCACGAAACATACCATTTTGACACTGATTTTAAGGGTCAAGTTTGGGGGTCGTCTTATCCATGGGGTCGTCTTATAGATGGTCATATACGGTAGTAGCTTTATCTTATAATTACGTTTAGGCTCTGTAAATAAACCAGTCTGAAGAAGTAGAAATCAGGAATGTTTCTCTTAATGATGAGATATTATTTTGTTTTTTCATTCTATTTTTGTTATAAAGAAAATATTTGACTGTCAATTATGACAGCAACCTTTGTTTAGTTGCTAGCTCTGTGACAGTTTTACACCTATTGGCTCCATATCTAATATAATGTCGTGGCGCTATTGTGTTACTTTTAAGGCTGAACTGATGGAATGTCTTGTTTTGTTTGTCAGGTTTCATGGCAGTCATGATTATTCTTTCAGATCAATGCCATTGTTTTGTCAAGACAGTCGAGAGTGAAATTCAACACTAGCTGGTTAGTTTACTAGTTTCTTTCTTTACAATGATATGTGTTCAGTATAAATATGTATAAATGTCACATTTACAGTATAAAACTGATGAAGAATTAATGAAATGGTGTGTTCAAAAATCATGTACAAGTATGAAGTATAAAATAGGTTTGTAATGACTCTTGGCTGTAGAACCTGAATGATGTGGTATCTTGGCTGTAGGACCTGAATGATGTGGTATCTTGGCTGTAGGACCTGAATGATGTGGTATCTTGGCTGTAGGACCTGAATGATGTGGTATCTGGGCTGTTGGATCTGATTGATGTGGCATCTTTGCTGTAGGATCTGAATGATGTGGTATCTTGGCTGAAGGACCTGAATGATGTGGTATCTTGGCTGTAGGACCTGAATGATGTGGTATCTTGGCTGTAGGCACTGAATGATGTGGTACCTTGGCTGTAGGATCTTGATGATGTGGTATCTTGGCTGTAGGACCTGAATGATGTGGTATCTTGGCTGTAGGACCTGAATGATGTGGTATCTTGGCTGTAGGATCTGAATGATGTGGTATCTTGGCTGTAGGCACTGAATGATGTGGTACCTTGGCTGTAGGATCTTGATGATGTGGTATCTTGGCTGTAGGACCTGAATGATGTGGTATCTTGGCTGTAGGACCTGAATGATGTGGTATCTTGGCTGTAGGATCTGAATGATGTGGTATCTTGGCTGTAGGATCTGAATGATGTGGTATCTTGGCTGTAGGACCTGAATGATGTGGTATCTTGGCTGTAGGACCTGAATGATGTGGTATCTTGGCTGTAGGCACTGAATGATGTGGTACCTTGGCTGTAGGATCTTGATGATGTGGTATCTTGGCTGTAGGACCTGAATGATGTGGTATCTTGGCTGTAGGACCTGAATGATGTGGTATCTTGGCTGTAGGACCTGAATGATGTGGTATCTTGGCTGTAGGACCTGAATGATGTGGTATCTTGGCTGTAGGACCTGAATAATGTTGTATCTTGGCTGTAGGACCTGAATGATGTGGTATCTTGGCTGTAGGACCTGAATGATGTGGTATCTTAGCTGTAGGACCTGAATGATGTGGTATCTTGGCTGTAGGACCTGAATGATGTGGTATCTTGGCTGTGTGATGTGGTGTGTTGTGTTGTCACCAGGCTGAAGGATCTGTTTGTTTGGTGTTTAACAATGCACTCAACAATATTTCAACTGTATGGTGGCAGTCAATCCCATGATCAACAGTATGAGTATCGATCTACGCAATTGGGATACGATGACAATGTCGACATGTGTCAACCAAGTTAGCGAGCCTAACCATGCGATCGTGTCAGTCTTAAGACAAGCATGGTTTCCTGAAGACCAATTCTGACCTTGATCTTCATGGATGTAAGATCTGTATGATGTGTTGTGTTGGCTTTGGGCTAGAGGATCTGTATGTTGTGTTGACTTTAGGCTAGAGGATCTGTATGTTGTGTTGTGTTGACTTTAGGCTAGAGGATCTGTATGTTGTGTTGACTTTAGGCTAGAGGATCTGTATGTTGTGTTGTGTTGACTTTAGGCTAGAGGATCTGTATGTTGTGTTGTGTTGACTTTAGGCTAGAGGATCTGTATGTTGTGTTGACTTTAGGCTAGAGGATCTGTATGTTGTGTTGACTTTAGGCTAGAGGATCTGTATGTTGTGTTGACTTTAGGCTAGAGGATCTGTATGTTGTGTTGACTTTAGGCTAGAGGATCTGTATGTTGTGTTGTGTTGACTTTAGGCTAGAGGATCTGTATGTTGTGTTGACTTTAGGCTAGAGGATCTGTGTGTTGTGTTGTGTTGACTTTAGGCTAGAGGATCTGTATGTTGTGTTGACTTTAGGCTAGAGGATCTGTATGTTGTGTTGACTTTAGGCTAGAGGATCTGTGTGTTGTGTTGTGTTGACTTTAGGCTAGAGGATCTGTGTGTTCTGTTGACTTTAGGCTAGAGGATCTGTATGTTGTGTTGACTTTAGGCTAGAGGATCTGTATGTTGTGTTGACTTTAGGCTAGAGGATCTGTGTGTTCTGTTGACTTTAGGCTAGAGGATCTGTATGTTGTGTTGACTTTAGGCTAGAGGATCTGTATGTTGTGTTGACTTTAGGCTAGAGGATCTGTATGTTGTGTTGACTTTAGGCTAGAGGATCTGTGTGTTGTGTTGTGTTGACTTTAGGCTAGAGGATCTGTATGTTGTGTTGTGTTGACTTTAGGCTAGAGGATCTGTATGTTGTGTTGACTTTAGGCTAGAGGATCTGTATGTTGTGTTGTGTTGACTTTAGGCTAGAGGATCTGTATGTTGTGTTGTGTTGACTTTAGGCTAGAGGATCTGTATGTTGTGTTGACTTTAGGCTAGAGGATCTGTATGTTGTGTTGTGTTGACTTTAGGGATCTAGAGGATCTGTATGTTGTGTTGTGTTGACTTTAGGCTAGAGGATCTGTATGTTGTGTTGTGTTGACTTTAGGCTAGAGGATCTGTATGTTGTGTTGACTTTAGGCTAGAGGATCTGTATGTTGTGTTGACTTTAGGCTAGAGGATCTGTATGTTGTGTTGACTTTAGGCTAGAGGATCTGTATGTTGTGTTGACTTTAGGCTAGAGGATCTGTATGTTGTGTTGACTTTAGGCTAGAGGATCTGTGTGTTGTGTTGTGTTGTGTTGACTTTAGGCTAGAGGATCTGTATGTTGTGTTGTGTTGACTTTAGGCTAGAGGATCTGTATGTTGTGTTGTGTTGACTTTAGGCTAGAGGATCTGTATGTTGTGTTGACTTTGTGGCTTGAGGATCTTTAGGCTGTGTTGAGGATAGGCTAGAGGATCTGTATGTTGTGTTGACTTTAGGCTAGAGGATCTGTATGTTGTGTTGTGTTGACTTTAGGCTAGAGGATCTGTATGTTGTGTTGACTTTAGGCTAGAGGATCTGTATGTTGTGTTGTGTTGACTTTAGGCTAGAGGATCTGTATGTTGTGTTGACTTTTTAGGCTAGAGGATCTGTTGACTTTAGGCTAGTTGTGTTGTGTTGTGTTGACTTTAGGCTAGAGGATCTGTATGTTGTTGTGTTGACTTTAGGCTAGAGGATCTGTATGTTGTGTTGTGTTGACTTTAGGCTAGAGGATCTGTATGTTGTGTTGTGTTGACTTTAGGCTAGAGGATCTGTATGTTGTGTTGTGTTGACTTTAGGCTAGAGGATCTGTATGTTGTGTTGTGTTGACTTTAGGCTAGAGGATCTGTATGTTGTGTTGTGTTGACTTTAGGCTAGAGGATCTGTATGTTGTGTTGACTTTAGGCTAGAGGATCTGTATGTTGTGCTGACTTTATTGTTGTGCTGACTTTAGGCTAGAGGATCTGTATGTTGTGTTGACTTTAGGCTAGAGGATCTGTATGTTGTGTTGTGTTGACTTTAGGAGGATCTGAGGATCTGTATGTTGTGTGTGTTGACTTTAGGCTAGAGGGATCTGTATGTTGTGTTGTGTTGACTTTAGGCTAGAGGATCTGTATGTTGTGTTGTGTTGACTTTAGGCTAGAGGATCTGTATGTGTGTGTTGTGTTGACTTTGAGGGCTAGAGGATCTGTATGTTGTGTTGTGTTGACTTTAGGCTAGAAGATCTGTATGTTGTGTTGACTTTAGGCTAGAGGATCTGTATGTTGTGTGTGTTGACTTTAGGCTAGAGAGGATCTGTATGATGTGTTGTGTTGACTTTAGGCTAGAGGATCTGTATGTTGTGTTGACTTTAGGCTAGAGGATCTGTATGTTGTGTTGACTTTAGGCTAGAGGATCTGTATGATGTGTTGTGTTGACTTTAGGCTAGAGGATCTGTATGTTGTGTTGACTTTAGGCTAGAGGATCTGTATGTTGTGTTGACTTTAGATGCTTGAGGATCTGTATGATGTGTTGTGTTGACTTTAGGCTAGAGGATCTGTATGTTGTGTTGACTTTAGGCTAGAGGATCTGTATGTTGTGTTGACTTTAGGCTAGAGGATCTGTATGTTGTGTTGACTTGACTTTTAGACTAGAGGATCTGTATGTTGTGTTGACTTTAGGCTAGAGGATCTGTATGTTGTGTTGACTTTAGGCTAGAGGACCTATATGTCGCGTTGTGTTGACTTTAGGCTGAAGGTACTGTATGGTTTCGCATGTTGTGTTGACTCGATGCTGAATGATCTGAATTATGTGGTGTGTTATGTTGACTTCAGGCTGGAGGACCTATATGTCGCGTTGTGTTGACTTTAGGCTGAAGGTACTGTATGGTTTCGCATGTTGTGTTGACTCGATGCTGAATGATCTGAATTATGTGGTGTGTTATGTTGACTTCAGGCTGGAGGACCTGTATGAGAAGATCGTGCTGGAGACCCAGGGAGACAGGAACACTCCCCTGGCCAAGAACCCGGGAAGAATCATGCTGACTTCCTCCAGACTCTATTTCCAACCATTCAACAACATCGACAGGGTGAGTGGTTCAAACACTTAATGTTTTGTCTGCAACTGAAGGGACATATCATAAGGGATATGTGTGCGTGAGTGTTTGCCTGCAACTGCTTGTGTGTGTGCGTACACACACACACACACACACACAAGCATGTACAGTGTGAATCTCACTCTCTCTCTCTCTCACACACACACACACACACACACACACACACACACACACACATTTAAGGTCCCTGAAGGTGCTACCTTTAAACCTCGAAAGATGATGCTGTCACTTAGTGATGTCTTTTACTACTTTGGACTGAGAATAAACGAGCTGCCTGGTGGGTGGATGGGAATTTGTAATGGGTCTACTCCTGGATCAGCCTCTACAGGCTCTAGAATGTTAATTTTTCATGTGTCCAATAGTCTGTGATGGTAGAATCTCGTCTTGGTGGCATGACTATGTCACCATATCAGAGTGAGTGAGTGAGTTCAGTTTTACGCTGCTTATAACAATATTCCAGCTATATCTCGGCGGAGGACACCAGAAATGGGCTTCACACATTGTACCCACGTGGGGAATCGAACCCGGATCTTCGGCATGACGAGCGAACTCTTTAACCACTAGGCTACCCCACCATATCAGAAGGAATGACACAGTGAGAAGTAAACCCTAGGAATTGTACCAAGGTCATTTGTGTTATTTTTAGTGGGTCTCTCTTCACACACTTTGAAATGAAACAATGCTTGAATACCCCCCAAAAACTTGTTTTTTCAGTGGCCAGTTTTGAAAATCAGACTCAAAGAAATCAAAAGGCTTATAAGACGTCGATACCTGCTCCGGCAGCTGGTAAGCTGATAAATGAAAAGTCTGGAGCAAGGATGACAAATAAACCTGTTTCTGATGAAGATGATCATATCCACAACAGCATTCTACTCAATTCTCATTCTTAATTCATCTCTAAATAAAATTAATATTTTCACATGAAATTCTGAAAAATTCTAAAGTATTTGTAAACCAAGCCATTAAGAAATTTGATCATTTAAATTAGTGGTGAAACAATTTAATGTATAAGATAGAGATTCATCACAGATCTGTTTTAGAAACAGGATCCTACAAGTGAATGTTGATACAGATTTCTATGTTGTCAGGGTTTGGAGATCTATTGCAGTGACAATGCACCTGTTACACATCTGTTTCTGTCCTTCAAGACAGAGGAGATACGGAACCAACTGTATGATCACATCCTACAACAAGGTAAGACCAACTTTCAATCACATCTTACAACATCAAATTGAGATGAGACAGCAACTCTGAGATGATCACATCAACCCTATGATCACATCCTACATCAAGGTGAGATGAGACAGCAAATCTATGATCACATCAACTCTTATGATCACATCCTACAACATCAAGGTGAGATGAGTCAGCAACTCTATGATCAGTCAGACATCAACTCTATGATCACATCCTACAACATCAAGGTGAGATGAGACAGCAACTCTATGATCACATCCTACAACATCAAGGTGAGATGAGTCAGCAACTCTATGATCACATCCTACAACATCAAGGTGAGATGAGACAGCAACTCTATGATCACATCAACCCTATGATCACATCCTACAACATCAAGGTGAGATGAGTCAGCAACTCATCAACTCTATGATCAGATCACATCAACCCTATGATCAACTCTAGGTGAGATCACATCAACTCTATGATCACATCCTACAACATCAAGGTGAGATGAGTCAGCAACTCTATGATCACATCAACCCTATGATCACATCCTACAACATCAAGGTGAGATGAGTCAGCAACTCTATGATCCTATGATCATCCTACAACATCAAGGTGAGATGAGACAGCAACTCTATGATCACATCCTACAACATCAAGGTGAGATGAGTCAGCAACTCTATGATCACATCAACCCTATGATCACATCCTACAACATCAAGGTGAGATGAGTCAGCAACTCTATGATCACATCAACCCTATGATCACATCCTACAACATCAAGGTGAGATGAGTCAGCAACTCCACATCAACCCTACGATCACATCCTACAACATCAAGGTGAGATGAGTCAGCAACTCTATGATCAGCAACCCTATGATCACATCCTACAACATCAAGGTGAGATGAGTCAGCAACTCTATGATCACATCCTACAACATCAAGGTGAGATGAGTCAGCAACTCTATGATCAACATCAATCAAGGTGAGATGAGTCAGCAACTCTATGATCACATCAACTACAACATCCTACAAACATCAAGGTGAGATCAGCAACTCTATGATCACATCAACTCTATCACATCCTACAACATCAAGGTGAGATGAGTCAGCAACTCTATGATCACATCAACAACCATCATGATCACATCCTCAAGCAACTCTATGATCACATCAACCCTATGATCACATCCTACAACATCAAGGTGAGATGAGTCAGCAACTCTATGATCACATCAACCCTATGATCACATCCTACAACATCAAGGTGAGATGAGACAGCAACTCTATGATCACATCAACCCTATGATCACATCCTACAACATCAAGGTGAGATGAGTCAGCAACTCTATGATCACATCCTACAACATCAAGGTGAGATGAGACAGCAACTCTATGATCACATCCTACAACATCAAGGTGAGATGAGTAGCATATGATCACATCAACAAGGTGATGATCACATCCTACAACATCAAGGTGAGATGAGACAGCAACTCTATGATCACATCCTCCTACAACATCAAGGTGAGATGAGTCAGCAACTCTATGATCACATCAACCCTATGATCACATCCTACAACATCAAGGTGAAGGTGAGATCAACCCTATGATCACATCCTACAACATCAAGGTGAGATGAGTCAGCAACTCTATGATCACATCCTACAACATCAAGGTGAGATGAGACAGCAACTCTATGATCACATCCTACAACATCAAGGTGAGATGAGTCAGCAACTCTATGATCACATCAACCCTATGATCACATCCTACAACATCAAGGTGAGATGAGTCAGCAACTCTATGATCACATCCTACAACATCAAGGTGAGATGAGTCAGCAACTCTATGATACATCAACTCTATGATCACATCCTACAACATCAAGGTGAGATGAGTCAGCAACTCTATGATCACATCCTACAACATCAAGGTGAGATGAGTCAGCAACTCTATGATCACATCCTACAACATCAAGGTGAGATGAGTCAGCAACTCTAAGATCACATCCCACATCAGCTCTAGGAGTCAGCAACTCATGATCACATCCTACAAACATGATCACATCCTACAACATCAAGGTGAGATGAGTCAGCAACTCCCTATGATCATCCTACAACATCAAGGTGAGATGAGTCAGCAACTCAATCAACCTATGATCACATCCTACAACATCAAGGTGAGATGAGCAACCAGCAACTCTATGATCACATCAACATGATCACATCCTACAACATCAAGGTGAGATGGAGATCACATCAATCAAATTCAGGTCTGCTCCTGTATGATCACATCCTACAGCATCAGAAGATGAGATGAGTCAGCAACTCTTACAATTACACTCTACAACATCAAAGTAAGATGAGACATCCGTTGTATGATCTCATCCTACAACAAGGTGAGATGAGTCAGAAACTCTATGATCACATTCCACATCAGCAAGGTTAGATGAGTCTCCAGCTCTGTGATCACATCCCACATCAGCAAGGTAACATCATTCTCCAATGTCTACGATCACATCTCACATCAGCAAGGTAACATTCTCCAATGTCTACGATCACATCATTCACATCAGGTAACATCATTCTCCAATGTCTAATCATCCCACATCATATCATAACATTATTCTCCAATGTCTATGATCACATCCCACATCAGCAAGGTAACATCATTCTCCAATGTCACATCAGCAAGGTCATCATCACATCCCACATCAGCAAGGTAACATCATTCTCCATCCCATGTAACTCACGATCATTCTCCAATCTAAGATCACATCCCACATCAGCAAGGTAACATCATTCTCCAATGTCTACTCATCCCATCACATCCTCACATCATCCCACATCAGCAAGGTAACATCATTCTCCAATGTCTACATCAGATCACATCCCACATCAGCAAGGTAACATCATTCTCCAATGTCTACGATCACATCCCACATCAGCAAGGTAACATCATTCTCCAATGTCTAAGATCACATCCCACATCAGCAAGGTAACATCATTCTCCAATGTCTAAGATCACATCCCACATCAGCAAGGTAACATCATTCTCCAATGTCTGTGATCACATCCCACATCAGCAAGGTAACATCATTCTCCAATGTCTCTCCCCGCCACGATCACATCCCACATCAGCAAGGTAACATCATTCTCCAATGTCTAAGATCACATCCCACATCAGCAAGGTAACATCATTCTCCAATGTCTAAGATCACATCCCACATCAGCAAGGTAACATCATTCTCCAATGTCTATGATCACATCCCACATCAGCAAGGTAACATCATTCTCCAATGTCTAAGATCACATCCCACATCAGCAAGGTAACATCACTCTCCAATGTCTAAGATCACATCCCACATCAGCAAGGTAACATCATTCTCCAATGTCTGTGATCACATCCCACATCAGCAAGGTAACATTCTCCAATGTCTATGATCTACATTTCTTGTGCTTTAAGTTGACAGTTTATATATATCCGAGATACAGCTCAACTCTCTGCTTATCCCAAGTGACCGTTGCTGTGTTTCAGACGCCATTGGACTGAAGTGTTTCAGACGTCCAGCTGGAAGAAGTGGGCCAAGAAGACATGACCCTGAGGTGGCAGAGTGGCTACATCTCTAATTACGAGTACCTCCTCTACCTAAACAGGTTGGACCCCATTGAGATTGTGGTTTGAAATGGTCCCCAACAACTTATGCTGGCTTGGGCCCAATTGAGATTTTTGTTTTGAAATGGTCCCCAACAACTTATGCTGGCCTGCACCCCCTTGAGATTTTTGAGATTTTGGCTTGTTTTTGAAATGGTCCCCAACAACCTATGCTGGCTTGGGACCCCATTGAGATTTTTGTTTTGAAATGGTCCCCAACAACCTATGCTGGCTTGGGCCCAATTGAGATTTTTGTTTTGAAATGGTCCCCAACAACCTATGCTGGCTTGGGCCCCATTGAGATTTTTGTTTTGAAATGGTCCCCAACAACCTATGCTGGCTTGGACCCCATTGAGATTTTTGTTTTGAAATGGTCCCCAACAACCTATGCTGGCTTGGGCCCAATTGAGATTTTTATGCTGGCTTGAAATGGTCCCCAACAACTTATGCTGGCTTGGGCCCCATTGAGATTTTTTTGTTTTGAAATGGTCCCCAACAACCAACCTATGCTGGCTTGGGCCCCATTGAGATTTTTTGTTTGAAATGGTCCCCAACAACCTATGCTGGCTTTTGGAAATGGGTCCCAACAACCCTCTTGGAAATGGTCCCCAACAACCTATGCTGCAGGCCCATTGAGTCCCCAACAACCTATGCTGGCTTGGGATTTTTGTTTAGAAATGGTCCCCATTGAGATTTTTTTGTTTTGAAATGGTCCCCAACAACCTATGCTGGCTTGGGCCCCATTGAGATTTTTGTTTTGAAATGGTCCCCAACAACCTATGCTGGCTTGGGCCCAATTGAGATTTTTATTGTTTTGAAATGGTCCCCAACAACCTATGCTGGCTTGGACCCCAAGATTTTTGTTTTGAAATGGTCCCCAACAACCTATGCTGGCTTGGGCCCAATTGAGATTTTTGTTTTGAAATGGTCCCCAACAACCTATGCTGGCTTGGGCCCAATTGAGATTTTTGTTTTGAAATGGTCCCCAACAACCTATGCTGGCTTGGACCCCCATTGAGATTTTTGTTTTGAAATGGTCCCCAACAACCCAAGGCTTGGACCCAATTATGAGATTTTGTTTTGAAATGGTCCCCAACAACCTATGCTGGCTTGGGCCCCATTGAGATTTTGTTTTGAAATGGTCCCCAACAACCTATGCTATGCTGGCTTGGGGTCCCAACCTATGAGATTTTTGTTTTGAAATGGTCCCCAACAACCTATGCTGGCTTGGGCCCCATTTGGAGATTTTTGTTTTGAAATGGTCCCCAACAACCTATGCTGGCTTGGACCCCATTGAGATTTTTGTTTTGAAATGGTCCCCAACAACCTATGCTGGCTTGGACCCCATTGAGATTTTTGTTTTGAAATGGTCCCCAACAACCTATGCTGGCTTTGAGATTTTTGTTTTGAAATGGTCCCAACAACCTGAGATTTTTGTTTTGAAATGGTCCCCAACAACCTATGCTGGCTTGGACCCCATTGAGATTTTTTGCTTGGTTGTCCCCAAGAACCTATGTCTTTGTGGATCAAGTTGTCAGAACCTATGCTCTTGGGTGCTATGGTTATCATGGATTGCACCAAACTCTCATTGATCATTGTAAATGATATTGATCACTGTATTGTCTGGTCCAGGCTTAATCATTTAAAGGTGCTTTCATGTAGCTGTAACACAAACCTTCCTCACTAAATGTTCAAATATTAGGCTAGGCTAGTTTATGCACCTGTCTTGTTTGTAGTTGAAGAAGTTAATAAGGAGAACAAAATATGAATGATGGTTATAAGAGCTGAGGTATCTTGTTATTTTGGGGTGTGTGGTGGTGTTATGCTTATGTTAATGATTAACTGTTTTCAAGATAATGAAAATTCTCTGTGAAGTAGAAAATATGATAATCAAAATTGGAGTGGCATAACTGAGTGACTAAATGCTTAATATTTAAGGGTTGAGAGGAATGGGATTGGAGATTAGTATTTTTTAGACATTTTTTTAGTCATTGCTTTTTTGGAAAAGAGGAGGTGAGAAATTGATTTTTTTAACCAAAATAAACTTTTATTCTGATGTCCCATGTGGCTAGGGAAGGGTTTTATTTTTGTTGTTGCAAGAGCTGAGGCATATCAGTTTATTTTCCAGAATTTTCTAGAACAAACAATCTCAGGCTTTAAGAATTGTCAGCCCCTAAGGTGATACAAGGCTTTGAAATGCTGATGTGTCATATTGGTGTGTTTCAGTTTGGCGGATCGCAGTTTCAATGACTTGACGCAGTACCCAGTAATGCCATGGGTGATATCTGATTTCACCAGCGATCATTTAGGTAGGTCCGCAGCTCCGACTGGCTTTCATATCTGAATTTTGAAACTGATTTGTAGTTAGATGTAGTTTCTTGCTGTTTGGATGTCACCTTCTCTCATTGCCTCAACAGACTTGCAAGATGAGAAAGTTTACCGTGATCTGAAGAAGCCAATCGGAGCCTTGAACCAGGAGAGACTGGATAGGATCAAGGTGAGTTGGGGAATAGGACCAGGGTGATTTGAGGAATAGGATATGGGTGAGTTGATGAATGGGATATGGGTGAGTTGATGAATGGGATATGGGTGAGTTGAGGAATAGGATATGCTTAAGTTGAGGAATAGGGTATGGGTGAGTTGTGGAATGGGATATGGGTGAGTTGAGGAATAGGATATGGGTGAATTGAGGAATGGGGTATGGGTGAGTTGAGGAATGGGATATGGGTGAGTAGAGGAATGTCGATATGGGTGAGCTGAGGAATAGAATATGGGTGAGTTGAGGAATAGGATATGGGTAGATTGAGGAATGGGATATGGGTGAGTTGAGGAATGGGATATGGGTGAGTTGAGGAATGGGATATGGGTGAGCTGAGGAATAGGATATGGGTGAGTTGAGGAATGGGATATGGGTGAGTAGAGGAATGTCGATATGTGTGAGCTGAGGAATGGGTTATGGGTGAGTTGAGGAATGGAATATGGGTGAGTTGAGGAATGGGATATGGGTGAGTTAAGGAATGGGACATGGGTGAGCTGAGGATAGAAAGAAGATAGGATCAAGGTGAGTAAAGGAATATATAAGGGTGAGTTGAGGGATAAGGTAAGGGGTAGAAGGAGGATAGACAAGGGTGAATTGAGGGATAAGGGTGAATTGTGAAGTGTGAGATAAAGAGAGGCTGAGTTGGGAGTTAGAAAGAAGGTGATCTGTGGTATAGGATCAAGGTGAGAACTAGGATAGATAAGGGTGAGGTTTGGGGTATAGGATCAAGGTGAGAAGGAGGATAGATAAGGGTGAGGTTTGGGGTAAGATATGGGTGAGTTGGGGGATAGGATAAGGGTGAGTTACGGGATGGGATATGGGTGAGTTGGGGATAGGATAAGGGTGAGTTACGGGATGGGATATGGGTGAGTTGGGGGATAGGATAATTGTGAGATGGGGAGAAGATAAGGGTGACTTTTGGGGTAAGATATGGGTGAGTTGGGGGATAGGATTAAGGTGAGTAGAGGATACGACAAAGTGAGCTGGGAGGATAGAAAATGGATGAGTTGGGGAAAAAGGATCAAGATCAGTGAGATTACTAAGATGAGGGATGACATACATGCTCATGAGACTTACTGAAAATAATCTAAAGGTAATGTTGATAAATGTTTTAAATATGCTATCCTGTGGTGCTTCTGTGAGCAGATTATCATGATATGTTCCAGGAGCGGTTCGTCGACATGCCGGAACCGAGGTTCATGTACGGCTCCCACTACTCCACTCCAGGCTATGTGCTGTTCTTCCTTGCTAGAATATGTAAGTGTTTCACTTTATTGTTTGATCAGCATTCTAGAGGTTGATGTGTAAATACTGAAGCATACAATTTTAGGATTGTGAGAATTGAAGCATATGATTTTATATCAACTCTGCAATAAACAAGAAGTTGTTATCTTGTCTCTGTGATATAGTGAATAGAACGTCAGTCTGGATGGCAAATCAGTGGTTAGATCCTTGACAATGTCGTACCAAGATGTTGAAAGATGGCAGAATGCATTTCCTTTTGGTACATTTGTTCTGAATGTCTATAACTAATAAAACACTTTGGACTGATGGCAGAGTTTTCACCACTCTCCCTCATACTGCTCCCTGATTAGAACCCGTGACGGTCCGGGTTAGAATTGGTCTTCAGTTTTTCAAGCTCTCTTAGAGCTAAGATAGTCGCAAGTTAATGTTAGGGGTATGGCACTTACGCCTATCTTAGCTTAAAGAGAGCTTCAAAAATCTAGGTTAAATTGGTTCAGCATCCCATGCTTGTCATGAGATGCGACTAACTGGATCAGGTGGTCAGGCTCGCTGACTTGGTTGACACATGTCATCGTAACCCAATTGCGTCAATCGATGTTCATGCTGTTGATAACAGGGTTGTCTGGTCCAGACTTGATTATTTACAGACCGCCACGATTTTGCTGGAATATTGCTGAGTCGGCGTTAAACAACAAACAAACAAAGCCTGATCAGAACAGTAACCCATGCTTGGTGACATCATGAATCAGATGGTCCAGATACGATTTTATCGTCTGCTGTTAGAAAACTAGAATATTGCTGCCTGGAATGGTCTCAAACTAGAATATTGCAGTGTGTGACATATTTACAACTAACACACTACCCACTGGTCATCAACTACATGATCAAAATGTTAAACTGAAAATCAAAACATATTGTTCATTGACTCAACTTGAAAGGAGGGACCTGGTAATGTCAATGCTTGTCATGTGATCTTCAGTATGGTTGTCATGGTAACTTCAGAGGTTCTTCTCATGCCAGGTCCCGAGTATGTGCTCTGTCTGCAGAACGGAAAGTTTGACCATCCTGACAGAATGTTCAACTGGTGAGACTCTCATATTGTCTGTGTTGCCACATAATATCAGATTGTTTCTGCTTTAAAGTTACTATGCTAACTTAACTTGTCACCAAAACTACTGTTATGATCCAACTTATCTGTGGACCTGTGAAGATCCGGGGTAGAATAGGTCTTCAGCAACCCATGCTTGCCACAAAAGGTGACTATGCTTGTCGTAAGAGGCGACTAACGGGATCGGGTGGTCAGGCTCGCTGACTTGGTTGACAAATGTCATTAGTTCCCAATTGCAGATCGATGCTCATGCTGTTGATCACTGGATTGTCTGGTCCAGACTCGATTATTTACAGACCGCCGCCATATAGCTGGAATACTGCTGAGTGCGGCGTAAAACTAAACTCACTCACTCACTCAACTTATCTGTGATCTTCCTTTTGTCAATGTCATGCACATAGTTTGAGTTACATGTGTCATGGGGTGTGTATATTTTGAACGTCAGTAGATAAACATTACAAAGTTTGAGGGTCGTTCTGTCAGCCATAAAATCCTGTAACCAGTTTTTCACACATTGCAGGGCTTGATTTAGCAATAAAACATGCACCAATGCAACTATTACAACATCAATCTTCTGAACACACTCAATCCCCCCAAGCTTTTTTACATGCTGCATTAGTTATCCCCCAGACCGCCTCCATGGTGTAGTGGTTAGAGCGTCCGCCGGGAGTGCGGAAGGTCGCTGGTTAGATCCCCGACCGCGTCATACCAAGAGACGTTAAAATATGGTACTTGTTGGTCCCTACCTGGCGCTCGGCATTAATGGGTACAACAAGGACTGGTCGGCTCGGAGTCAGTATAATATGTCTGAGTGGGGTAATCATGCTTCACTGCGGCATGGTATCTCGGTGGGCTAGCACTACAAAACCAGCTCGGTGGGCTAGTACAAGCATCCGCACATACACATACACACGCATGCACGTCGTCATATGAGCGAAATATTCTCAAGCACGACGTTAAACCCAATTCCACCACCACCACCAGTTATCCCCCATAGTAATTTGTCTCTCTTCTTAGGGATTGATGTCATTAAAATGTGGGTACTTCAAGATTCTGTAGATTCTCAAGATATTTATTGTACCAGGGAGCAGTAGCAGTCTGGTAGTAACATGCAATATTGTAATTGTTGATCATTTTGTGGCAGTTTCTGTTTTTACCCATAGCTTACCATACCTCCAGATAGAATACATGCACAATATATCACTATTATGCCATTAATATATACATGAAAAGATGAATAAACCTAGTAGTATAATGACCTTGAGCGTGATAACCCAAGGTGACAGTTACTGATTGAAGTCATCGCATATACATGTATTCTTCTGCATTGAAGTCATCGCATATACATGTATTCTTCTGCATTGAAGTCATCATGTATATACATGTATTCTTCTGCATTGAAGTCATCGATGCATATACATGTATTCTTCTGCATTGAAGTCATCGCATATACATGTATTCTTCTGCATTGAAGTCATTCTTCTGCATTGAAGTCATATACATGTATTCTTCTGCATTGAAGTCATCGCATATACATGTATTCTTCTGCATTGAAGTCATCATGTATAACATGTTCTGGAAGTCATCGCATATACATGTATTCTTCTATTGAAGTCATCGTATTTACTGTATTCTTCTGCATTGAAGTCTTGTATTCTTCTGATTGAAGTCATCGCATAACATGTATTCTTCTGCATTGAAGTCAAGAAGGATGTTTGGCTTCTGTTCATTGTTATTTAGACATGTACATTACATGTATTCTTCTTTGAAGCAATGAGCTTGGGAGATTTCTGTAACTCTTGCCACATCCAAGAAGGATGTTTGATCAGAATCATGTATGTTAAAGGTTCACTAATTTAGTTAAAATCACTGAATGGAATAACTGCTAGATAGTAAGAATAAATTGATTTCCAAAAGACAACTATCAATGCCTATTAGAGAAGATAATGTGTTTTGATACTTAAACCAACAATTATCTGCAGCCGTGACACATAAAACTTTTAGTCTCACCCTCTATAGGTCTTCTGCCTTGTCACTAAGTGCATATGTTCTGAACAGCCTCCAAGACACCTGGAACAACTGCCTCCTGGGAGCTGCCGACTTCAAAGAGTTGATACCTGAATTCTATGATGGCGCCACAGACTTCTTTGTACATAAAGGGGTGAGTTATCTCCACGTTGTGTCAAGGAGCTGATACCCAAGTTCTGTAACAACTCAACTGACTTCTTTGCTGCTATAATAGTGAGTTGTCTCCACTTGGCTTCAAGGAGCTGATACCCAAGTTCTGTAACAACTCAACTGACTTCCTTGCTGCTATAATAGTGAGTTGTCTCCACTTGGCTTCAAGGAGCTGATACCCAAGTTCTGTAACAACTCAACTGACTTCTTTGCTGCTATAATAGTGAGTTGTCTCCACTTGGCTTCAAGGAGCTGATATCCAAGTTCTAAATTGGTTCCACACACTTGATTGTTGATGGGAGTGTGAGTTCGTCTCTGGTATGGACTTAGTATTGCCACTTCAGCTGTAGTGTATTGAAGTAACTAGAGTTGTAGAGTAGTTTAGTCTTTCAAGACCTGGACTCTGGGGATGCGTGACTTTGTCGAGTGTTCATATTGGAAGTGTTCAGGTTTTAATATTGGTCACAAGATGTTCAAGGAATTGTTATCCCCTCGACATGTAATGCAGGGGAAGTGGGGGTTGGGGGGAATTGGGGTTGGGGGTATAGTCAATGCCTCGTCCATCTGTCCATAATCATTTTGTTTCTGGAGCATAACTAAAAAAACGTTCAATATTTTTAAAAAAAATTGGTATAAATATCAAACAGAACCTAAAGTGTGCCTTTTGCTATTTGCAGATATTTGGCTTTTTAATTTTTCTTGGTTTCCATGGAAACAATTTGGACTTATTCTCAGAAGGGAGGGCTGGGCTTTGTTTCCAGAGCACAATTTGAAAACCTTTCAATATCTTTCAACAAAATTTGGCAGATCTTGAAGTGGTGCTTTTGCTATTTGCAGATTTTTTCGCATTTTTGTTTGTCATGATTTCCATGGAAACGATTTGGACTAAGTAAAAAAAATCAAGTTGGACTTTAAGTAACTGTCAGATGATTTGTCCTTTCAAATTTGTGGGGGCCGGGGGGGATTTGTCATCATTTGATGACTCTTGTTCTTTTTCAGATCATTAACTTCGGCATCAAACAAGACAGTCGCCCCGTTGCTGATGTTGAGCTGCCTCCCTGGGCATCCTGTGAGTTGGAGCTGTGTTGTGTAGAAAAGATAAAAAAAATAGATCTAGTCTTATTGCACACTCACACTGCATAGATCTTTGAATAGAAATAAATCCTAGCAACATATACGGCTAACGCTGTCAGTATGTGATAACATACGCTGAACCAAATTACCCAGCCAGACCAACCATTCCATTTGGTCGTCTCTATCTTTGTCTTCTTCTTCCTAATTATTTATGGGGCGGTGGGGTAGCCTAATGGCTGCAGTGTACACTGGTCATGCTTTAGGCTGGGGTTCGATTACCCATGTGGGTACAATGTGTGAAGCCCATTTCTGGTGTCCCCTGTCGTGATATTGCTGGAATATTGCTAAAAGCGGCTTAAAACCTACAACCATATCTCCTCCTCCACTCCACCCACTCACTCACTCACTCACTCACTCACTCACTCACTCACTCACTCCTCCCACCCACTCCACTCCACTCACTCACTCACTCACTCACTCACTCACTCATTCAGGTTGGCTGGCAGCCACGTTGATTGGGTGGTCAGACACTGACATATTAGTTGGTGGTGTATCGTACCTTGATGACATGGATCATTGCCCTTAATATCAATCACTGGATTTCCTGGTCCAGTTGCCATCATATTTCCACAATATTACTTGACATTGAAACAACACTCTCTTGGAAGTCAGCCATAGGGTAGTGTTAGCTTGCAGATGTCATATGATGTTTCTGGAATATTACTAAAAGTGGCGTGAAACATAACTCACTCAATCATGTGTTGTGTGTAGTGTTGTGTGTCGCGTGATGTTTCTGGAATATTACTAAAGTGGCATGAATATTACTAAAGTGGTAGTGAAAACATAACTCACTCAATCATGTGTTGTGTGGCGTGATGATGTGGAATATTACTAAAGTGAAACATAAACCTCACTCAATCATGTGTTGTGTGGCCGTGATGTTGCTGGAATATTACTAAAAGTGGCGTGAAACATAACTCACTCAATCATGTGTTGTGTGGCCGTGATGTTTCTGGAATATTACTAAAGTGGCGTGAAACATAACTCACTCAATCATGTGTGTGGCCATGTGTAGCGTGAAACATAACCTCACTCAATCATGTGTTGTGTGGCGTGATGTTGCTGGAATATTACTAAAAGTGGCGTGAAACATACCTCACTCAATCATGTGTTGTGTGGCCGTGATGTTGCTGGAATATTACTAAAAGTGGCGTGAAACATAACTCACTCAATCATGTGTTGTGTGGCCATGATGTTGCTGGAATATTACTAAAAGTGGCGTGAAACATACCTCACTCAATCATGTGTTGTGTGGCCATGATGTTGCTGGAATATTACTAAAAGTGGCGTGAAACATAACTCACTCAATCATGTGTTGTGTGGCGTGATGTTGCTGGAATATTACTAAAAGTGGCGTGAAACATAACTCACTCAATCATGTGTTATTATTGAAACATACCTCACTCAATCATGTGTTGTGTGGACCATGATGTTGCTGGAATATTACTAAAAGTGGCGTGAAACATAACTCACTCAATCATGTGTTGTGTGGCCATGATGTTGCTGGAATATTACTAAAAGTGAAACATACCTCACTCAATCATGTGTTTATTGTGGACGTGAAACATAACTCACTCAATCATGATGTTGTGTGGCTGTGATGTTGCTGGAATATTACTAAAAGTGGCATGAAACATAACTCACTCAATCATGTGTTGTGTGGGTGTGATGTTGCTGGAATATTACTAAAAGTGGCGTGAAACATACCTCACTCAATCATGTGTTGTGTGGCTGTGATGTTTCTGGAATATTACTAACAGTGGCATGAAACATAACTCACTCAATCATGTGTTGTGTGGGTGTGATGTTGCTGGAATATTACTAAAAGTGGCGTGAAACATACCTCACTCAATCATGTGTTGTGTGGCTGTGATGTTTCTGGAATATTACTAACAGTGGCGTGAAACATAACTCACTCAATCATGTGTTGTGTGGGTGTGATGTTGCTGGAATATTACTAAAAGTGGCGTGAAACATACCTCACTCAATCATGTGTTGTGTGGCTGTGATGTTGCTGGAATATTACTAAAAGTGGCGTGAAACATACCTCTCTCAATCATGTGTTATGTGGCCAAGATGTTGCTGGAATATTACTAAAAGTGGCGTGAAACATACCTCACTCAATCATGTGTTGTGTGGCTGTGATGTTTCTGGAATATTACTAAAAGTGGCGTGAAACATAACTCACTCAATCATGTGTTGTGTGGCCGTGATGTTGCTGGAATATTACTAAAAGTGGCGTGAAACATAACTCACTCAATCATGTGTTGTGTGGCCATGATGTTGCTGGAATATTACTAAAAGTGGCGTGAAACATACCTCACTCAATCATGTGTTGTGTGCCACATTGGCCAATAGGTTGCAGTGATTACCCTCAGACCATTATGTTCATGCCTAGAGTCCTAACTTATCCCTATTATGAATAGACAGACCCTGGTAAAGCCTTGATCTCATCACATGTTTGTGTACAATACACATGTCTAAAGTTGGGATGTCTACACAGGTCCAACAGATTTTGTCCACAAGCTTCAGGATGCTTTAGAGTCGGAATATGTGTCCTCCAACATCCATCACTGGATTGACCTCATCTTCGGCTACCAGCAGCGGGGCGAGGAGGCGGAGAATGCTGACAACTGTAAGTTTCAGAACTCCGGAGAAATCAGTCATGTTGATGGCGATCATGTCTAATTGTTGTTGGATTCGTTCAGTGCTACATTTTAAGATACTTATTGTATTTTTGGTAGACTTAGTTGCCTGTGTTTTGTTGGTTTCTCATGTTGTCTATTGTTTCCAGTGTTCTACTACCTGACATATGAGGGAGCCATTGACTTGGACAGGTAAGGCAGTGAGTGTGTGAAGGGGAGATGGGGGGGGATGTAGGGGACAAAGAGTGGGAACTTGGAAAGTGTGAGAAAATATGGAGAAAGACTGTGACAGGGGAGAAAGACTGTGAAAGGGGAGAAAGAGTGTTGGAAGTAGGGGAGAGAAAGATCAAATTACTGAAAGAGACAAATAGAGGGAACTGTTGGAAAATGGTGGAAGAAAGGAGGGAAATGGAGAGTAGGAGGATTGGAGAGAAAGCAGAAGTTAGGGAAAGAGACAAAAAGGGAGGACAGGGAGAGAGAGTGGGAAAGTGAGGAGAAACTGTGGTCAGGGAGGAGGGAGGGTGGAAATAGATAGTAGGTGGGATGGGAGGGGAGACAGGGTGGTGTGTGGGAAGATGACAGGGAAGTGGGAATGGTGTGTGGGAAGATGACAGGGAAGTGGGAATGTTAGGAGGGAGGATGGGAGAGAGAGTTGGAAGGTGATTTCTTCCTCGGAAGTGGTCGAAGTGACAATAATTTTGTAAGTAGTGTTGTGCATGTCAAACAAAATCCTATTGGCCATCAATCAAATACATATTTTACTACCAGTAGAAAGTAGTTTTGATTTTATAACTCAGTGAATACAAACCTAAACAGCATTTATTCTCAGACTGGCGTGTGTTCTCGACAGGGCGCCGCCATTTTTAAAAATCGTGACGTCGTGGGCTAAAGTCTGTTAAAGAATGAATGAGATTACGGTTTGTTTTCATCAAGTTAGAAAATCAAAACTTCTTTCTACTCGTAATTGTATCATTACCAAAAGGATTTTGCATGACACAACTTGTAACATAACCATTTCTTCCACGGAAGCAAGGTGGGGGTCAAAGTGACAATACTGCGCGATAAATTTCTTGCTAGATTCACGTGGTTAACATCCACTCACCAGTATGTAGATACTAGTCAATGTACGTCTTTATATTTGGTCTTATAATCCTACCGGTAATTAGTTTATTATCATATTTGTATGCATTTTGAAACTTAATAAAAAAGCAGACGATCTGCTGATACTTATAGTGAATTTATAACAGGACTGTAATATCTAGACATTTTATAGTTTCCCAATGCGAATCATAATTCGCACAGACACCCTAGTGTATGTTGTCTTTTTCATTACACTTCACGGCGAAAACAATGATTCTGTTGAATGCTACGACAACTGAATAAAAACAAAATGCAAATAAAATTAAGACAGATTAAAGTTATAGGAACAATGTCAGGCTATCACCTTGTTCGAGGAATGTATCCATCAATATCCACATATGCCATTCATCTGCATCTGTTCCAAGTGATGTGTCTTTTAACAGTCTAATATGCGAAAACGTGATATATCGTTTCAGGTTTTTCACATTGGTGTATAGTCTCATTGGTCACCCAAGATAGCACACATGGCAACTAATTGCATAATGTCTGCCATTCTTTAAAAAAAAAGTAATTTAGTTAGCCAAAAATGAGCAATCAATCAATGTATTGGTGGTTAATCCTTTGAAAGAAGGACATTGTTTTTACACAGACACTTTACGACAGAGTGTATTCAGTATAAATTAGTAAATCTACATACATAAACACTACCTTTCGACAAATCCGCTGTGCAAGATAAAAGTAATTAATCAATTAGCGTGTTATTGGTTAATCCTTTGATCGATGTTTGTTTTTGTAACTTGGGTGATAATTCTTCTCGCTGCACTTCCATGCGCATATTACATAACATGTAATACATTTTCCACATCAGACCTTTATTTATTACTCCAGACACAAGAAATGCCAAATGGGAACCTTTGTCGGGTAATCTAAGCGGTGTTACCACTAATTATACCTGTTATAAATTCATTAACTGACTACAAGTGATGATGACAAATAACATGTGTAGGTTTATACCACCTAACACAGGTTACAACAAGGGAGTATTAATTGCTGTATTGCATGTGAAAACTTATGGCCCGACACTGTTTTGAGAATATGAACAGAACTTCATTGTTGCATAAGAAATACATATAAGCATTTGCTGTGTGCTAAAACTGCATGTACCTATTTACCTAAGCAAATTTTCAGATTCTTCTAGCAATGGCAAAGTGGGGTTGTTTAGTTTACGGATTCAAATAAATCAAATGTACATTTTTAATAGCATGCATAATAGATGTCATATTTTTACAAGACATGATTAAATATCGAGGTAAAAAAACCCACAGAAATGGGATCAATTTGGATCAGTCATTTTACCATCCAAGCATTAGAATTGTCTATGAAAACAAGTTGTAACTCGGAAGCTAGGCAAAGCAGGTGACAAAATTAAATGAAAGTAGATTGTGAGAACATAGCTTTCATTTTTCACAACAATTTTCACGATTTCAGGTTTATACAAACCTGTAAACAAGATAATTTACCCCCTGAAATGTACATGAATTCTACATCGGCCCTCATATCTATTCCTCATATGACAAGCCGTCACGGAGACGCGCCCCTCTGATTGCTTGAAATTTTGTTCGTGGGTGAGAATTGTGCACTGTTGTCAAAAAGGTCGAGTTAAGTTAATTAAAGATCGAAATGAGTAGTTTTAATGATGGGGTTTCATTTATGACAATGTCAATTAGTGATTTATGTATTTGTACCCCCCGAGAGTATATGTGATCTTTAAGCATAGTATAGCCGCTATTGTCTTTCTTCCGTGTTTCAGCATCGAGGACCCGAACGAGAGGGCAGGCCTGGAGACCCAGATCATGGAGTTTGGCCAGGTCCCCAAACAGCTGTTCACTACCCCCCACCGCCGGCGCTTCTGTACCACACCGGTGCCCCACCCTACGTCCCACCCAGTCCCCAAACTGGGGTCACAAGTAGAAGTGAGAGGGGACTCCGACTCAGATAAACGATCATTAGGTGAGAAAAAAGTTATTTTGTTTGAATTTAGGATGTTTTATTACTTTTTGTAATTTTTTAATTTTAGAGGTATTTTTACATTTCATTCATTGCAATCATATATTTCCAAGCACTCAGTCCTATACTATTTTACTGGCCTCAACAGCAAGATGTATAAGTAACACCTTTACAAATCTACCTTTATAAATTAAAATCGTTAGCTATTTAAGTATGCAAATAATTTTTGTTAGGATGACAACTTATGTATTTTATGGTATTGATCTACCAGTAAACAGTTACGTTGATTTTATTTAAGAAGTGGGAAATTATATGAAACAATGCAGGAAAATATTTTGGTATATTCTGATATTTATGGGAATAACAAACTGTGATGATTGTTGGTTTCAGAGTCATCCATCGAGAAGAGTCTGGAGGTGGCGGAGCCAATCATCAAAACTGTCGACTTCAGCAAAATCCGAACACATCTTAAATACACACTGCATAAAGAGTGAGGATAGTTTTGTCTCACCAGTTTTAAGTTCTGCATGATATGGTTTTGTTTAGGATTATATTTCATTGTAAACCAAAAGTCACTGTGTTCTTTAATCTGATTGATTGAAAAACGTGATCAAATGGTATTTGATACCCGGAAATTCTCTGCGTATTAATACATACATTCATCGCTCACACCATTGTATTGTTATGTCGTCAGCTGTGATGACGTCATTCAAATCATATTGTGACGTAAAGTCCGAATGACGTCACAAATGAGCAGTTCCAGATGCTACCATGGGAGACAGCCGAAACGGCCGGCTGATGACATTTCACTGCTGTACCCGTACTCGATGTCAATGAGTGCAGACACAAAAACCGTGTGTGGTCCTTTTGGTTTACTTTTGCGTTTACAATGTCGATAAACATCATGTGTTGGCCAATTTCCGGGTGTTATTGAGTATTTGAAGCACGGGAATATTTCATTTGAAACCTCCGGCTTACGCCGTTGGTTCCAAATGAATTCCCGTGCTTCAAATGCTCAATAACACATGATGTTTATCTCCTAATTGGAACATTAAGAAAAGTTTTTGGGGCCTGTTAATTGTTCTGAAGACATAAAAGTCTTAGAGATAACAACTCTGTAACAATACATCTGAACTGCTTTTTGCGCTTTCACCAAGTGAGGGGTGGTGAGGTAGCCAAGTGGTTAAAGCGTTTGTTTGTCACACTGAAGACCCGGGTTCGATTCTTCACATGGGTATGGGTAAAACGTGTGAAGCCCATTTCTGGTGTCCCCTGTGATGATATTGCTGGAATATTGCTAACAGTGGTGTAAAACCATACTCACTCACCTCTGTGACGCCCATTTATGGTGTCCCGGCCGTGATATTGCTGGAATATTGCTAACAGTGGTGTAAAACCATACTCACTCACCTCTGTGAAGCCCATTTATGGTGTCCCCGCCGTGATATTGCTGGAATATTGCTAAAAGTGGTGTAAAACCAAACTCACTCACCTCTGTGACGCCCATTTATGGTGTCCCCGCGCCGTGATATTGCTGGAATATTGCTAAAAGTGGTGTAATGCCATACTCACTCACCTCTGTGACGCCCATTTATGGTGACACCGCCGTGATATTGCTGGAATATTGCTAAAAGTGGTGTAATACCATACTCACTCACCTCTGTGACGCCCATTTATGGTGACCCCGCCGTGATATTGCTGGAATATTGCTAAAAGTGGTGTAATACCATACTCACTCACTCACCTCATCAGGTGAATACTGAGTGCACTTATTGATGCCTTTGAAAGATTTGTCCATTGGTCACTGAATACAGTCCCTCTTCCAAAATGCTAATCCTGAACTACTAATCTTATTGGGTGGTATTTTTTTCATAACCTTGTTTATGGATCCTTTCACCCTACAAATCTGAAATGGTGAAACTGATGTTATATACAGTGGGATCCTGGATACCAGGACCCCAAATATCCGGAAACCTCGCCTTCCTGTCAATTTTCATAAAAAAACAATCTCTTACGTTATAAAAGTGACTGTCTATAACGGATATGCGGTTTCCGTTCCCGGACGGTACATTTTACAAACCAACTAACTAAATCTACACAAAATTGACTGACTTATCCGCATGAAGCTTTGATCTTCCGCTGACATTGTGTTTTGCTTTTATGGGGTTATTTTTTTGTTTCAGCGCTGTGACTGACGCCAAACTCTCAGTTGATGGGAAGAATGTTTTCTCAGTCTCTCAAGGTAAAGCGTTACTCTCTTGAAGATAGTTACATTTTTCATACCAAGTGTATGATTCAAATAGCACCTGCCTGCACAAACATACTTTGTGCCCTTGTTATGTAACAGGGGCGGTGGGGTAGCCTAGTAGTTAAAGCTTTTGCTCGTCACGCTCAAGACCCGGGTTCAATTCCCGACATGGGTACCACATGTGAGGCCCATTTCTGGTGTCTCCTGCTGTGATGTTGCTGGAATATTGCTAAATGTGGTGTAGAAGTAAACTCGCTCTGATGTTACAGAGGTATTAGTTGTTTGTCCTATGTTGTTGCAGACAGCCTGCTGAAGATGTACTCACTGGAGGAACAACGTCAACTCCGCAGTGTCAATCTGTCCAGCATGGTATGTCCTCGTTCCATCACAAACATGTTACAGATAGTATGTGAGATTAGACAAGTACAGTGCACCCTGGATATAATGTCCCTGGTTATAATGCCACCCTGGATATAATGCCACCCTGGATATAATGCCCCTGGATATAATGCCCCTGGATATAATGCCCCTGGTTATAATATATAATGCCACCCTGGATATAATGCCCCTGGATATAATGCCCCTGGTTATAATGCCACCCTGGATATAATGCCCTTGGTTATAATGCCACCCTGGATATAATGCCCTTGGTTATAATGCTACCCTGGATATAATGCCCTTGGTTATAATGCCACCCTGGATATAATGCCCTTGGTTATAATGCCACCCTGGATATAATGCCTCTTGTTATAATGTCACCCTGGATATAATGCCCCTGGATATAATGCCACCCTGCATATAGTGCCATGTTTTGCCAGAACGGATTTCCTGCCTATAATATACCCTGGTTATAATACCACCCTGGATATAATGCCATTTGCCAATGGTTTGGGGAACAAGAGTCATTTTCCCCTGATTATAATGCCAATTACACTGACATGACTCAAATTATTTGCCTAAACTCATTAATGCTTTAGGTAGCCATGTAATCCCAGATAGGATAACACATGTGACAATACACTTCCTGCCACCTACAACAAGTCACCTGCAGCCCCTAGACGCTGGAATTATCCAGTCATCCAAGGTTCATTGCAGGAGAGGGGCGGTGGGGTAGTCTAGTGGTTAAAGTGTTGGCTCGTCACGCCGAAGACCCAGGTTCGAATCCCCACATGGGTACAATGAGTGAAGCCCATTTCTGGTGTCCCCCGCCGTGATATTGCTGGAATATTGCTAAAAGCGGCGTAAAACCAAACTCAGTCAGTCATTGCAGGAGACATCAGCTCAATCACCTTGTTGAGTGCACAGGTCCTCTAACTGTCCTACCTGGTTATAATGCCACCCTGGATGTCATGTCATATTTTCTCCTGGACAAATGGTGACATTATAACCAGGGTATACTGTACAACAAATAAGTCTCGCATGGTAGAAATCAAACTATAACTGAAGCTGGATGGTAGCTGACTCCATCTTGCCTTTGACTGTTTTACATTAATTCTAATTTACTTTTCTAAGTTTGCATGAAAGGTTTGTCACAAAGTAAGGTCAATGGTGGTTTTCCTACACTTCATGTTTCAAGTAAACGACACACAGTATTCAAACATTTGTGTGCACATTGTCCAGTATCTGTGTTGGGCAGTGGGGTAGCCCTTACCATTTTCACAAAATGTATGTTCACATTCTTCATATGCCGTCTTCACATTAGGGACGGTGGGGTAGCCTAGTGGTTAAAGCGGTCTGCTACATGGCACAATGTGTGAAGCCCAATCCTGTTGTCCCCTGCCATGAGATAGCAGGAATTTTGCTATAAGTGGCATCAGGGATGGAAATAACCCATTGCCCAATGTCCGAGTCCAGTGTTTTTCCCAGTCGGGCAAGCAAATTTGTATATCACGCTGTACCAATGTCCAGTTGACTTTCCAATGTTAATTATGTTGTTAATTTAAAAAATCAACAAGAAAATCAGCTGGTATAGAGGAAAAATTATCAGGGCAAGTGATCTTACATGTGCCACTGTACCAGTGTACTCTAGCAATTTTAAAGTTATTTCTACCCCTGGGAAAAGCCATACAGTGTCTGTGAAATTGTTCCTGAATTGGTTTGTGTAATATAATATTGACATGAATCCAACTAGATGTTGTGATGAAATCCTATCTGTTTGTTTGCTGACATCCATTCTTCGTCTCCTGTAGGCCCTGTCTTCGTGTTTAGCTATGCCAGACAACAAGACCATCATAGTGGGTTCCTGGGACAATAATGTGTGAGTATATACGGCTCAGCCTCCTGTCACCATGGCAACAAACAGGCTCTTCCTTTGTTTGAACTCTGAATGAGTGTAAGGCTGAAATGAGCTAGTGAGTAATTGAGAGTGATTTATTTCAGTTGGTCACACTATTGAAAAATGTATTGTCAGGTCCAGACCCAGTGTAAGTAAACTTAGGCTCAGAGTTATTCGTTATACTGCTATACTAACAAGGTCTAACAAACCCTAGCAGAAGGTCGCGCCAGCTAACCTTTGAGCGACCTATGACCATACAATCAAACGCGAGAGGCCGAACAGATTTAACCAATAACACAATGGCTACTATTTAGGGTTTGGCGGGACTTACGAAACGGTTTGGGGATTTTCCATCTCCCGGTCCGCTGACAATGATCTATCAACAAACAAAAATCTGCATGAAACACAGATATTTGACCTGCAATATATACGCTTAGGGGTTTCTAATGACATGGTTACTATTACTACAAGATGACATCCTTGAATATTGACAAAATACGCTATTTTCTGCGATTGCTTACACATTGCGTCCTCAATGTGTATCACTCGGAAGTGATCGTGCAGAAAATAGCATTTGGAATCGTTCGAGTTTTTGAGGTAAAGGTTCAAATGGTATGTGCGAATGTGAACTTTCGCGATTTGGTAAGCTGTGTTCTGATTGGTCAGTCCAAAGGTTAGCTGACGCGACCTTCTACTAGGTTTTGTTAGACTCAGTATAGCAGTGTAACGAATAATACTGAGCCTAAGTTTACTTAAACTGGGTCCAGACTGTTAGACGACCGTCATATGGCTGGAATGTTGTTGAATGTAGCATTAATCAACTAACAAGGTATGTAATCACGGGATAAAGGAACCTGGAATATGCAAACCCTTGAACTAATGATGTGTCTAACATAACAATTTAAATTAAATCTGAATATATCAAAAGATGGATTAATCATTTGTCTTCAGCCATCACTGGTGTACTGAGACAACTCACTCTTACTCGTTTTCTTAACCACATGTTTGTGTGAAAAATTGGACGGCTTCACATGTCACATGCTTCTTGCCTGGGAGGAATTTTGCTGACATATTATTGAATGGCATGGAAGTTCAAGGTCACTCGTTATTAACTATGTGTCAGAGAAGCTTTTGTACTCAAAATTTATCTATTTATAATTTGATGAGGCTTACATGTTCTCCAGTTATAATAGCTGTTGATTTTGTGCGCTTCAGGTACTTCTACAGTATCGAGTACGGCCGGGTGTTGGACACGCTCCACGGCCATGATGATGCAGGTGAGGGTTGTAGTGCTGTGACATGTTTAAACAATCCTTTCTGATTTTGGCTCATAGTTTTGCAGACTGTCGTTATAATAATTTTAAACATACTGAAAAATATGTTATTGTAATCAAATTGTTTTGTCTTTTATGATATGGCAATTAAATCTGTGCTTCCAGTGTCTTCTATAGCATGGAAGTCTGGCACCCTGTACACGGCCTCGTGGGACTCTTCAGTAAAGGTAAGATCGTATTCTAGTACACTGGCACTTACACAGGGGCGGTGGGGTAGCCTAATGGTTTAAGCGTTGGCTCGTCACGCCGAAGACCCGGGTTCGATTCCCCACATGGGTACAATGTGTTAAGCCCATTTCTGGTGTCCCCCGCCGTGATATTGCTGGAATATTGCTAAAAGCGGCGAAAACCAAACTCACTCACTCACTGTCACTTACACTGTCTACATAGAACAGAGGAAAGCAGCCTATATTACACTCATCCTATAACAGAAGCAGAATAATGCTGGTTTATATCAACTGAGCAATACTGAGGATAGTCCAAGTACCATGCTGTTTGTTCCAGATCTGGAGGCTGCCCCAACCGGAACCAGGCCAGGCTTTCTCTTCAGCGGAATACCTGGTGAGTTTAGGAACAATAGTGGTTCATGATAACATAGTTATACCTCCATAGGACTTGTGGAAAAAGGGATCACTTACATCATTTTGACATCTTATTTCATTTTTGAATAATAAGGTCATTTATATAATGCTGAACTCCACGCCACCAGGACCTGCTCTAAGCGCATACAACATGATGGACATTATTGCCCCAGATAACCCAAGCTGCCTGTGAAGCGCTAAGCATAATAATAAGCATATGATTTATCCCACCGGGTACCCATTTTCTGCTGGGTGAAGAGAGGCAATTTTGAAGAGACTCACTAGCCTTAGGTGAGACCACATGTATCACATGTGCTTCGTTTTGGGGTGCAAGACAGAAATCACAGAAACTCTCCAAAGTCAGTCACCCATCCAAGGACTCTCCATGACCATCGTTTCTTAACTGATTTGGGGGAGGTGGGGTAGCCTAGTGGTTAAAGCGTTCGCTTGTCACGCCGAAGGCCCAGGTTCGATTCCCCACATGGGTATAATGTGTAAAGCCCATTTCTGGTGTCCCCCGCTGTGATGTTGCTGGAATATTGCTAAAAGCGGCGTAAAACCATACTCACTCACTCACTCACTCACTCTTAACTGATTTGTGACCTGGGCTCTATGCACACACACACACCATTTGCAATGTGAAATTGTCATACATCCTCATTCTGGGTAAGGGGGGGCGGTGGGGTAACCTAGTGGTTAAAGCTTTCGCTTGTCACGCCGAAGAGCTGGGTTCGATTCCCCACATGGGTACAATGTGTGAAGCCCATTTATGGTGTCCCCTGCCGTGAAATTGCTGGAATATTGCTAAAAGCGGCGTAAAACCATACTCACTCACTCACTCTGGGTAAGGGTGGTAGGGTAGCTTCGTGGATCAGTCCATTACTCAAGCCATCTCTTTCTTAACACTGATGTTCAACATGTTTTCCGTTCACCCCTATCCATCTGGATTGTCTGTATCCTTGGGTCCGTGTTGCAGGGCCAGTTGGACCATGACGAGGGGGTGACGTGTCTGGACCTGGATCCCGAGAGTCGACTGCTGGTGACGGGCACCAAGGACGGCCATCTGTGTGTCTGGGATCTCTACACTGAGTACATCAGCAACCAACTAGCGGGTACACAAGGCTACCTATTCTCGAAACGTTCGGAACCCTAAGAACTTCTTAAGCCCATTCTTAACACATTGGCTTCGATCAAAGTTAAGAATTCTTAGGACTACGAACGTTTCGAGAATAGGGGCCAAGGTCGCCCACACAGTCGTGGTTAACACTATATGTATTAGACATTAACACTACGTGTAGAGTCCGTGATCGATAAATGCAGGTCGCCATGTTTTGTGGAAAACACAATTTAAGTTTGCAAAGAAGGAAACTGCACTAAGCTGTATGAAAAAAGTATGGTAATATTGTAATTATTTACATTTATTTACACAGTACAAGCTAACACTGTTTTTCTTGTATTCACAGTGCATCATGGGAGAATCAATGCAGTCCTCGTCAGTCCAGGTAACTAAGTCACGCCGTTGTTGCCTGGTTCCCATGTGTCTGGAATAGCATCTTAACTCTGTATGTTAAGGATAGGTGCTGATCTGATTTCAGAGTAATTTTTTTTCCTAAGATCTCTGTTATTTAATCTGATTGTCCAAATAGTGTGCCTTTGTTAAGCAAAGGTGTGTTTGAGAGGTAAAGACTTAATAAATAAGACATAAATGCTGAAGATGTTGTTGAAGATGACCTTCAGAGTAGATGTTGTTGATGTTGACACTCGGCGAGCACGAGTTTAGTTTTACGCCACACTCAGCAGTATTCCAGCTATATGGCGGCGGTCTGTAAATAATCGAGTCTGGACCAGACAATCCAGTGATCAACACCATGAGCATCGATCTGCGCAATTGGGAACCGATGACATGTGTCAACCAAGCCGGCGAGCCTGACCACCCAATCCCGTTAGTCACCTCTTATGACAAGCATGGGTTTCTGAAGATCAATATTCTAACCCGGATCTTCATGGGTCAAAGTTGACATTCGGAGTAGATGTTGTAAATGGTGACTTTCAGGGTAAATGATATTCATGTTGACCCTCAGAGTAGATTGTAATAATGGTGTAGTTTAGAGTACCGGGTACATTAAAATATTTTTAAGAACAAAAAGGTTGTCGATTTTTCTGCTGGCAGGATATGCTTATTCTTGGTCAGATGCATTGTGTACTTCTGTATGTAATGCTATATTCTTCCAACTATGTATTGTGTCTATGTGCTGCAGACGTGAGACGGATCCTGTCCTGTGGGGAAGACAACTACATCAAAGTACTGGACACTGGAACCGGCACCGAGATCTTCACCAAGGACGTCCATGATGAAATACTGTAAGGACTCTTTTTTTCAATTTAAGCTGAAATTTACTGTGAACTTGGGATAAACAGGACATAAGAAATAATTGCTTCTACTTAAAAAGCTGGTGGGAAGAAGATAGATTATTCCGTCTTCTTGAAATATTGGCTCAGTTTACGGATAGATCATGTTATAATTTTAATGCTTTTCTGTATTTAATTGTTTACTCTATAAAGTCTCACTGTCCATCTGTTGGCTGGTAATATTGAAATCTATTTTATCGGCCAATACCATATTGGCTAAAAATGACCTGTGCTTTGTGTCATGATACAAAATAGTGAACTTAGCTTGCTCTTTGAATCAAATTGTCAAACTTCAGCATGATGCATGTACCAGGTCTTCATGAAAAATAACAGTGGAAATAACGGACGCTTGTGGTATAACATGGAATATTGCCTGTGTTGTTCCAGTTGCCTACAGTGGGCTGGTGGGCTGGTGATGTCGGGGAACAGCGCAGGATTTGTTCAGGTCTGGGACATGGACAAGGGGCAGATACTTCACCAGTCAAAGGCTCATCAAGGTACGACACTCCTTTGGAGATTCCACGGAAGAATAGACCCCCAGTACCCAATGATTATCTTTATGTTGGGGTTTAAGGTGTGGAATAGGTACCCAGTACATCATTCATATAATACCCTGTGGGTATTTTGGTATCGTGGAGGTCCCCAGCTCCCAATGCCTGACTCCCTGTGTGTATTCTGGTATAGCGAAGGACTAAAGAAGATTGGGTGCTGTGTTGTTTAACACCGCAATCAGCAATACTTCAGCTATATGGCAGCAGTCTGTAAATAATCAAGTCTGGACCAGTTAATCCAGTGATCAACAGCCTGACATATGTCAACCAAGTCATCGTGTCTGACTACCCAATCCTGTTAGTTGCCTTTTATGACAAGCATGGGTTGTTTAAGTGGCCGTCACATTGCAAATTTAATCTTGACAACACATATTGTCAAACTTGATTTTGAGAGTGTGAACATTCCAACAACTTGCCAACAACACTAATTTCAGAGTTGTCAAACTGTTGTCGTCGTGAGTTCCACCTGTTGTCGAGAAATAGGATCGGTCTCTATTCTCACCAACTTTTCCATCAAACTTTCAGTGTTGTCAAACCTGAGTTTGACATGTGAAGTGTTGTCAAACTCATGTTGTTCAGAAACAACCAATTGCAGTCAACAAAATTGTCACGTGATGTTTTGGTCACACCAATAGAGACATGGTGCTCAAATGAAACGAAAGTTTGACAACAATGTGTCTTACGTGTGAAAATGTGAGTTTAACAGCTTTTAAAAATTTAACAACATGTGTAAGCAAACTTTAGTTTAACGTGTGAAGGCCGCTCTAGGACCAATTATAACTCGGATCTTCACGGACTAAGGAGGGTCTGTAGATAACTCCAGGTGATGTTATGGATTGTGTGTCACATTACCACGATGGTATTCATGTCATCAACCACTAATTTGCCTGGTGCAGACATGACATCTTTTATGTCACAATGATGTAACTGGAACATTGATGGTTGTCTCATTAAAAAACATTCACTCGCTCAACAAATAGTTACCCTTTCACTGATGTCTGTTGCAGATGCTGTGACGAGTATCGATGTTGCTGAAGATGGGAGGCTGTTGTCAGGAGGATATGATAAGACTGTCATAGTGTGGCAATGTGGATAACTAGTCTCACAGTGGCTGAATGGATAAACCTCCAACCAGTGATATACTGGGATCGTAATGGATCAGCACAGCTCCATGGAAATCATCTGAATGCCACCATTTGGATCTTCTTCAGCGATGGTTTAAGACATATCACGTCCATAATTCAAATCTGAAAATACATCATTCAGTTGCATCCTTGACTGTACAGGGTATTTTATTTGCAATCAATGTTGTTTAAATTCCCTGGACAAATTCATTTTTATAGTTTTGTATTTATTTGCTAGCAGATTCGGATAACACAATGTTACAAGTGTTGTCCATTTAAATTAGTTTATGTTAAGTTAAATATAAGCGAGGTTTACGTGGTGATGTGATGTCTGAAAATAAGCTAGATCGGTAATTTATATCCAAGGTAATTATCATTATTGTATGGTAATATGATAATCAAGGATGAAGGATATATACACTGAGTTCTACAGATACTCATATTGTTTAAAGTGTTTGAGTACTGAAGAGAAACTAGTCTCACATTCTACTGCCCATGTTTGCCTGTCTTGATGTTAGAAGCAAGACCTTGTGTGAAGCTAACATTTATTCTGTGTAGTTATAGTTACTGTATCTTTAGCTAAAGGGGCAATGGGGTAGCCCTGTGGTTAAAGCGTTCACTCGTCACACCGAAGACCCAGGTTCGATTCCCCATATGTGCGAGTCCCATTTCTGGTGTCCTCCATCTTGATATTTCTGGAATATTGCTAAAAGTGGCGTAAGACTAACTCACTCACTCACTCACACATTTTTAGCTAAACAACGAATCACAACCTGACAACTGAATCTGCAGATCTGTGTCATCTGTGCAGTTGAATTTAGCAAGGATTGAAGGTTTCAAGATTACAGGGACCCGTGAAGATCCGGGGTAGAATAGGTCTAAACTCACTCACTCACTCAAGATTATAGGATCAACATTGCCATATGTTCCGAGCACAATATTTTTTTCTGTGGAAAAAAACCAAATCTGTGATTAATATCTAAACAGTTTATTGTGAACACTTATTTTAACTTGTTGAGTTGATATGTCGCATTGACAAACACACACATCGCATGAACTCCATGTGAAGTACACGTGACAATGTCACATTCTACATTTTTGCAATGTATTGTTCCGTGGTAATAGATTCTTCCACTGCATGAAGAATCCCTCCCATCCCGAAACATAGTGTTCACACAGATTGTTAACTGATGTTATTGGTTGACCTTCAGTCCACCTGGGACTGCCAGTTGAGCAGAGTGTAGTGCCCCTTTAAGTGTTAAACAGGCTGATATATCTAAACTGCCAACTCACCTTGGAGCACTAAGTTTGCAGGGCTATGTTTGACAAAGCAATTGTGATACAAAGACAATACTAGCTAGTCTATGATACTGTAAGGGATTTACAATCATCTTAGTGCTACGAGTGTCGTAAGTCAGTGTTAAAGTATACGTTTTATGACCATCTTGGCGATATAGCTGTCGTTAGTCTATGTTAAAGTAAGGGATTTACAATCATTTTAGTGCTACAAGTGTCGTAAGTCAGTGTTAAAGTATACGTTTTATGACCATCTTGGCGATATAGCTGTCGTTAGTCTATGTTAGAGTAAGGGATTTACAATCATCTTAGTGCTACGTGTGTCGTTAGTCTATGTTAAAGTATGGGATTTTTTTTAATCATATAAGTGCTACAAATATCATAAGTCAGTGTTAAAGTATGGGATTTACAATCATATTAGTCCTATTACAATCATAAGTCAGTGTTAAAGTATATGTTTCATGACCATCTCAGCACTAAAGTATGGGATTTATAACCATAATCATCTTAGTGCTACGACAGCTTTGTGTAAAGGACCACTGTTCACAACACGTCCAAGTCAGACTCTTAGCAAAATCAGGAAAGAAAAACTTTAAAGTCATTTTTGTATAACTACATGTACTTACATGATCAAAAGGGACACCCTTATTTTCTGACACTGGTACTGTAAGTAAGTGAGGGAAAGTGCCAAGGTTGATATCTATTCTTGTTCGTTATTCACTCAACATTCCAACATGTGATACAGCATTAACATATCCAACTGGTGCTCATTACGCTTCTACAAGAACTTTTAATGTTACCAATAGTAATATTTTGAATATGTCATATATGCGAGGGGCTGTGTCAAAGGTTTCCATGGATTTTCAAATGTTCATGTGAGTTTGCCGCTGCTGATGTTTATTCTGTAAATTTGCTTGTACAAAGATTGCACATATTTTCTGTTTATCTTTGGGTTTTTTTTCCGAGTATGCTGATGTTTGAGCATTCTCTTCCACTTTGTCATATTTTCCCACGTAACGTAGGAAGATATGACAGGAGTAACTCTGTGGGAAGAGAATGATGTTTGAGGGACTGTCTCAAAAGTTTCCACATCATTTTTAAATGTCCCAATGTGTATGTTTAGACTCATGTTTTGTTTGTACACAGACAAACAATACCCTTATTGTACCCCCTTGTAATACAAACCAATAATAACAATTTAAAACTATGATCGTTTGTTAAAAACTTTGTATCCTAAGTTGAATAAAATCCTGAGATTTGAATGTTCAATTGGCAAGGTAAAATTATGAGGATTTGTAATCTTAATTTCGCTTTAATCGATTTACTTTTTTGTTTAGAGTGAAATTCATCGGTACGTTTTCACTGCAAACAGACTATAAAGCTCGGTTTGAATGCCAATGGTACAATGTGTGAAGCCTATTCTTTTTATCTGTAGATATGATGTTGCCAATGGCTGCTTAGACCACACTGGTACATGTTCAGTTCCCATAACTGAAATTGCGACTTGTATTATTTTGAATAGTGAGTTTAGTTTTACGACGCTTTCAGCAAAGTTCATGGCAGGGGACCCCAGAAATTGGCTTCACACATTGTTCCCATGTAAGAAATCAAACTCCATTCGCCGTGACTAGCGAAGGCTTCAACCACTAGGCTACCCCACCACCCTGTAATATTTTGAAGGGCGTGGGGCCTAGTGGTTAAAGCTGCTATTCGCCACATCGAAGAATCGGGTTCAATCCCCATGGGTACAATGTGTGAAGCCCATTTCTGGTGTCCCCAGCCGTGATGTTGCTGGAATATTGCTAAAAGCGGCGTAAAACCAAACTCAGTCAGTCAGTCAGTGTAATATTTTGAATAACATTCCACATGTGATAATTTGTTGAAATAATGGTAGTGTTGAAAATGCAGATCCAGATGGTGGGTAGGGGTCATCAGATGCTGAGTTCCAACTTCAGGGGACAAACTGGTTGATGGAGCTAGTGGGATGTGGTAGGGATGGAAATAGTTGGTTTGCGATCCTGAGGGTTTTATCAATGGTGAAAAGGAACTATTTTTATATTCATGGGGTTCAGATGTGATTTTCATCACATACCACACACTGGATCTGCTGCAGGTGCTTGATCCTGGCCAGAGTGGGGGTGGTTTGCCAGCCTAGTGGTTAATATGTTCGCTCACCACGCCAAAGAGCCTGTTTCGATTCCTCACATGGGTACAATGTGTGAAGCCCATTCCTGGTGTCCCTTGCTGTGATATTGCTGGAATATTGCTAAAAGCGGCGAAAGACTAAACTCTCTCTCTCCTGACCAGTGACACATCTTTGTTTCCAGTTAGGGCTGTTGTTTGTTGCAGTTTCTCCACTATTGTAAGTACAACATATTCAGTAATATGTTACTGATTGATGCTAAGACATACAAGATTTCTCCATCATCATATGAGCTACAAACTTAATCATTCAATACAAATGAATTTCATCAGTGATTGTGTGAGATTACGGACAGTGACACCCTGTTAGACTGGACACCCTTCCTATTGGCAGGTAAGATATTGGGGGTGAAACTGTTATTTGATGATGTTGATGATGTTGATGATGATGATGATGATGAGTGTTTTATTTTGGTATCTGGGCATGTTTAAATAGGTTTGGAAATTCTATGTTTTGTTGAAAGAAAAGACTGACTATTTGAAAAACTGGCAAATTTTAGTAAAATACGAAGTTGAACAGTTGGTTGATTAAGTGATACCTTAGTGCCAAGACATTTGAGACATGCCCCTGCAAGTCTTTCCAAGTTGTACTCTAATACTGACAAGATATTCATTTCATGTAATGTTTGTTAATTCTTATTAAACATTTGTTGTCTTGACTTAAAGTTACAGATTTGCTTCCAGACCAACAGTTTGTTCAGCAAGAGGGTCCATATTTAGAGCGTTTTGTCATTTAAGAATATTAACCAAAGATTGATGCCAGCTGTGATTGTCACTCTAATACAAATTGTATATGTGCCAAATTTAATTCCTATTTCGCCAACAGATTTTGCTGAACATTGTCTGTTGGGACCCAAGTTCACAGGGGTTCGAATCACTGTTTGGATAATCATTTTTAAGAATAAAATCTAGACTTTACAGTTGTATATTTTTTTATTGGCAAGGTAAAATTATGAGGATTTGTAATCTTAATTTCGCTTTAATCGATTTACTTTTTTGTTTAGAGTGAAATTCATCGGTACGTTTTCACTGCAAACAGACTATAAAGCTCGGTTTGAATGCCAATGGTACAATGTGTGAAGCCTATTCTTTTTATCTGTAGATATGATGTTGCCAATGGCTGCTTAGACCACACTGGTACATGTTCAGTTCCCATAACTGAAATTTCGACTTGTATTATTTTGAATAGTGAGTTTAGTTTTACGACGCTTTCAGCAAAGTTCATGGCAGGGGACCCCAGAAATTGGCTTCACACATTGTTCCCATGTAAGAAATCAAACTCCATTCGCCGTGACTAGCGAAGGCTTCAACCACTAGGCTACCCCACCACCCTGTAATATTTTGAAAGGGGTGGTGGGGCAGTCTAGTGGTTAAAGCGTTGGCTTGTCACGCCGAAGACCCGGTTGAATCCCACATGGGTACAATGTGTGAAGCCCATTTCTGGTGTCCCCGCCGTTGATGTTGCTGGAATATTGCTAAAAGCGGCGTAAAACCAAACTCAGTCAGTCAGTCAGTGTAATATTTTGAATAACATTCCACATGTGATAATTTGTTAAAATAATGGTAGTGTTGAAAATGCAGATCCAGATGGTTGGTAGGGGTCATCAGATGCTGAGTTCCAACTTCAGGGGACAAACTGGTTGATGGAGCTAGTGGGATGTGGTAGGGATGGAAATAGTTGGTTTGCGATCCTGAGGGTTTTATCAATGGTGAAAAGGAACTATTTTTATATTCATGGGGTTCAGATGTGATTTTCATCACATACCACACACTGGATCTGCTGCAGGTGCTTGATCCTGGCCAGAGTGGGGGTGGTTTGCCAGCCTAGTGGTTAATATGTTCGCTCACCACGCCAAAGAGCCTGTTTCGATTCCTCACATGGGTACAATGTGTGAAGCCCATTCCTGGTGTCCCTTGTTGTGATATTGCTGGAATATTGCTAAAAGCGGCGAAAGACTAAACTCTCTCTCTCTGACCAGTGACACATCTTTGTTTCCAGTTAGGACTGTTGTTTGTTGCAGTTTCTCCACTATTGTAAGTACAACATGTTCAGTAAATATGTTACTGATTGATGCTAAGACATACAAGATTTCTTCATCATCATATGAGCTAACTTAATCATTCAATACAAATGAATTTCATCAGTGATTGTGTGAGATTACAGACAGTGACACCCTGTTAGACTGGACACCCTTCCTACTGGCCGGGAAGATATTGGGGGTGAAACTGTTATTTGATGATGATGATGATGATGATGATGATGATGATGATGATGATGATGATATAACTATATGCTATCATCATTTTATTTTGGTATCTGGGCATGTTTGAATAGGTTTGGAAGTTCTCTGTTTTGTTGAAAGCAAAGACTGACCATCTGAAAACCTGGCAATTTTTAGTAAAATGCGAAGTTGAACAGTTGGTTGATTAAGTGATACCTTAGTGCCAAGACATTTGAGACATGCCCCTGCAAGTCTTTCCAAGTTGTACTCTAATACTGCCAAGATATTCATTTCATGTAATGTTTGTTAATTCTTATTAAACATTTGTTAAAGTTACAGATTTGCTTCCAGACCAACAGTTTGTTCAGCAAGAGGGTCCATATTTAGAGCGTTTTGTCATTTAAGAATATTAACCAAAGATTGATGCCAGCTGTGATTGTCACTCTAATACAAATTGTATATGTGCCAAATTTAATTCCTATTACGCCAACAGATTTTGCTGAACATTGTCTGTTGGGACCCAAGTTCACAGGGGTTCGAATCACTGTTTGGATAATCATTTTTAAGAATAAAAATCTAGACTTTTACAGTTGTATATTTTTTTTATATGTTATGATTAAGGTATATTTCAGATTTGAACGAAATCGGTGAAGAAATGAATATTTTATACAGTGTTACATAAAAGTGTATTTTATGTAATGAGTGTAGTGATATAATTTTCTAATGTATTCATTTCTTCACCGATTTTGTTCAAATATGAAATATATGTTAATCATAACACTCAAAAACAATATACTTTTGCAAAAGTCTAGATTTTTATTTTTCATTTTTTTTGTCCAAACATGGATTCGAACCCCAGTGCCCAAGTTGCTGAACTGTGAGCCATGGATGACTTTGTAGCCAATGAAATTGGTGAAATGTGAACCTACAGAGGTCGTAACCTTTCAGGTTTCTTTTCCTGTTGGTCTTAATGAACTTATACTCTTTCATGAACCTCAAACTTTGTGATACTCAAAAGTAAATTAATATTGTAAATTATTGATTCTTTAACATGGTATTGTCAATGTCGTGTAGAGTATGACAAGGTGTGTATGCATATATACTGTTAGGTCACCGTGACTGTTCCATCACAAGTGGAGGTTTTCAGCAGACTTGTTCCAAGTTTATATATTTTAGCATATTGGAGATCAATAAATAAACTGCTATAATCAATCAAATACAGGCTCCCTTGTTTGTTGTAAGTGATCAATGTGGTCATTGTCAGGCCACAGGGTCCAGAGTATGAAATAAGGCCAGTCCGACTGCCAGAGACGGGCTATGATTTCTGACGGACATCTAAATTTACAGCTAGCCAGCCCGATGGTCTGGTAATTTTTTTAGATGTTCCATACATCTGAGTAAATTCACCATATCTTGGTGTCTGGTCTGGTTAAATCCATTTTGGACTGGTAACATTTTGAAGTTATAAGCCCTGATGTCTGGCTGGGTTTTGGGTTTATTTCATACACTGGGACACCTAAGAAAGAACTAGCACTAGTGAGATTTGCAGATGGTCAGTGGATCTTTATACAAAAAGGTAGTATTTTTGTTACCCTGCCAGGCAGTATGACGGAACATAATGTGGTTGGGGTATCTTAAACTGCGACTTGGTAGTTGGTTTGCTAGTGCTATAAACACACATAGAGACACAGACTTGGAGTTAGATACATACTAAAACGTACAGACTCACATTCCAGGGGCGGATAGAGCTTTTTGAGAATGGGGGTGGGGTCGGGTGGGGGTGTGCACACTCTTGAGAGCGGGCGAGGCGGTGTGTGTGTGTGTG